TTCAATACTGTTATCACTGATGATCGAATCAATTATTGCATGATTGGGATTGATCAAATCAATTACTGTATGACTGGGATTGAATACTAGAAAAATATTCAATTTACATTGCAATTAACAAGGTATATTTTAATTTATTTGAATTCAAATTAGTGCTTTAGTTCGAGAAAAATTCACAGAATATTTGAAATCGAAATAATCTCTGAACAAACTGCTTGATTTTAGCGCATAATGAAACAATAATAATAACAACTATTTAATTTGGTAAAATTTTTTTAATCATTTAATGAAATTAATAATACTAACTTTTAATTTATAACTTAACTCAACTTTAGAGTTGGCAGTTCTAAGAATCAACGAACTTTGCTATAAGCAAGTTTCATGTTCTGAACACACAAGTTTAGCCAAGCTAATAGTGATCAAAATGAAGCATATTAATCGTAGTATCATCATTATATTATGTATGAGACAATTTAATTACCATGTCAAATATGCATATTTATAAATTTAGAATTTGTCCGATTCTGGCGCTTAATTTTCAATGTTTAAATAATTTAAAAGCTATAATTTTGGCAAAAATTTGAAAAGTAGAAATTATAATGCTTCAATTCATTTAAATTCACAAAAATATCAGCTCATTGCTTGATATTTTGACATTTTAAACTTTAAAAATTTATTGCTAGCAGACACATAATAAGTGTAGTTATGGCCAGGCTTATTTCCAACAAAAATCGCTGCTATACTTTCTAAAAACTTATCTTGAAACCCAGGCATCCTTAACCGAACAAATGTGATATTCTATATTTCTGCCATCAACTGTTGCAAATGCTAGAAGTGAGAGTTTGAGAGTAAAATTTGCATAGTGGGCTCTTTGTCGTGACGCAAATTTAAAAAGCGACGAAATGCTAGACTTGATCAGGTAGATCAGACGTTTGCAGTCTTCAACTAGGCTGGTAACTGTGTGTTTCCTCTCTTTGCTTGGGATAGCTATTATTTTTTTCATTTCTAATATTTGTTTGAAATGTATTAGTGTGGAAAGTAAGATTGTTCTTCATGTTAGTATGAATATTTAAAAGGCACAATAAACTGCTGGCAGAAATGCTTTCAAGAATACTTTGTCCAGAGTCCAGACTTGTATGCTTCTCAAGAAGATGGTACCAGAATGAAAGCCGTAAAGCTATCATAGCATTATTATGACATGACTGTAAAAAGTTACATATATAGGGTTTCAGGTCGGGTTCGTTTTCAATAATGCTTATTTCAGGATTATTTCAGAGTTGCAGAAGAGGTGAGCACAGATCCATACATTTGCTATTTATAAATAATTTTTCATCAAATATATTCCTGCTATTTCTTCAGAGAATTTTGTTTCAACAACTGTCTTTTCATGATTTTAAACTAATATAAAAGTCATCAAAATAATGGATTTTATTTGGAGTACTGCAAAATAATATTTTCGAAGTAAGCAAAGAAAGTAATAAAATGCATACTTCAGTTTTTTTTGAATTATTTTTCGATTATAGTTATAAATCTTTTTGAAATTATCGCTTTCTTGTGGTTTGCTTAAAATCATAAATAATATCTTACAAATTAATTAAACTTTTATACCATTACATTTGTTAAACTTAGCTAATTATTTGTGTAATTAACAAATTACTATCATTTGTTGACATGTCAACTTAAAGATTTGGAATTTCTTAAAACTTCTAAAACTTTTGTAACGAAATTTCTTCCAAACATTTTTAGAAATTAAAAAATTATTTTTATGTGGAGTGTTTCATTTTTTTTCCTATTCTTGGAATATTTTGCTCTAAATTATTTGGCAGTTTGCTCTTGTCAAAGAATTTCTGTTAATAAATGCTTTTTCTTAGAAAAATGGCCTCAGAAAATAACTCTCTTTTTTGTCTTTTACTTTACTAAGCAAAATTTTCATGCAATTATGATTTTTTTTTATTAATCTTTAGCAGAGATTTATTGCGCAAATTATATTTAAGTAATAGTGTAAGCCGTTCTAGATTTTGTCAGCATCTATTAAAGTTTAGAATATTGTGCGGTAAGTGTTTGTAGTATAATCTATAAATTATAATATGATTCAGGCTGGCTTATGATTAGGCTTATGATAACACTGCGATACTGGGATTTGTGCTGATATTGTCGTTCTAACTTCTGTGGTTATTTGCTTCACTCTTTCTTATCTTCAATTTTTGCACTACTGATGTGGTGCAAAAAAAGTTACTGGAAGTTGCAATTGTCATTTTCTAATAGTACTGATCAGACAGTTTTATTTGATCTTATTATTTGAGGGCTGTGTGTTTTAGTTATTAATTCAAGCTATTACCTGCTTGTATTAGAGACAGTTTTATCTCATACAATGTGAAACGGAAATGAACAAGCATTCTGAGACAGTAATGCATTTTTAACTTATTTTAAAGTTTGGTTTGTAATATTTTTTATTGCTTTTGCTTTCAAACCAAGGTTTATGTTTTGAACTATGCCAGTTATTTCTAATATATGCTTAATTGCTTTTAATAGTTTGCAGTTCCATGCAGTGTTATTTTTTTTAATGTTTCAAGATGAGCATATCGGCTGAATGCTTGTGTAAGCTTTGGAATATCCAAGTTACTACCATATGTCTTATTGTAGTAAACACAGTTTAAAATGATATCTTGCACTCTCTATTTAATTATTTGTATTAATTTTCAAATGTAAGCAGCTATTTTATATTTTCCCAAAATATTCAGCATTGCTTTTCTAAACGAAATGCCGAATAATTATGTGATTAGATTTTATAAACTAATTATAGAAATTAACTAGTATAGAAAACAATATCACTCCCAGTATTGTAGAATAACTTAACGTTTATCATAGTTACTGATACTTTGTTTTAGTTAGTCAGGCGTTTTTATTATTTGAAAAAAATATTTTTCAACTTGGTTCATTCGATTTGGTAGTTTTCAGTATTTAAAATTCATTTCTTATTTGCTAGGCTAAATTTTACTTATTTAGAATAAATTTTGAATGTTTTTAAGTTTGTTTTGACTGCATGACAATGAAAACATTTTTATATTAAAAATAAATAAGCATTCCTGATATGGTCAAGAAGTCTTAGAAGAGTCAGAAAGTTATTAGAATTTCTATGTAGTCGAAAATTAATAAAAGTAAGTGGAATGCTATGTTTGGAGCTGTAGAAAAGGATTTTTTCACAAAATAAAATATGAATTCATCTTCTTATTTGTTCACTTGAAAACACCTATTGATGTTAATCTAGTTATATTCTTGATTTTTATTGCTTCAAAGAAATAATGACTAAATATTAATTCGAATTCGGAAAGTTGATAATTAAATTATATTATTGCGAATATAGTTTCGAACCGACTGAGAAAGAAATCAGTCCTTCATTCTATGATTTTTTATTCTAAAATTTGGTTACAAATTAATATAACGATGTAAACAGGTCGTATTATTATAGCAAATGCAAGGGCAACAATTTGCATAAAATGGTGATGAATTGGTATGTGAATTAAAGAAGCAGTAAGTTATTGGTCAGTATTTGGGGTTAACTTTCTCTAAATGACCGTTTTTGACTGATAGTGAATTAATTATTAATTGTTGTAGTGTGTACTAGCTACTGAATAAGGTCGGAACAAATAAATCATAATAAGTTTAAAAATTAGATGCTTTTTAAACAAAGTATGAGTAAATATCCTAAATCCAATGTCTACTGTAACGATTTTTAGAGCGAAGTAGACAGTATATGTATGGCAGTACGTATGTTGAATTGTGTTCACTGAAAGTTTACAAGAATTATCTAATCATACAGTGTTGTTAATCTGTCATTACAATATCATGAAATATTATTGTATTGACAGATTAATATAATCTGTACAGTGAAGTAACTTTTGCATACATATATGCTGGCTTATGTGACTATTGTAATTTTATTATGCATAATTTTGTCATTTTATCACGTATTGCTATGAAATTGATCATTAATTTCCAATCCAGTAGACATTGGATTGGAAACTTTATTGCTTCATTAACTGTTCTGAAGGATATTTCCTCCTTTGAGTGATAATATCTGATAAGTTATTATCTGATTGCGTAGATGAAACTATGTAATCAGATAATAACTTATCAGATATTTCTTTTAAATATCCATTCCAAAAGGGATAGACTGATCATTTAAAAAAATGATTAATTTATGAAGGATTGAGCGCGATAGTAAAGTAAGTGGAAAATCCTTTTGGAATGGATATTTAAAAGAAATAAAGAATGGAAATTGAATCAGTTGAAGATATCATGATTTAGAGTTAGTTTAATGAAGCTAACACAAAGAGATATTGGCTGAGTTACAAAGGGAGAAAAGAGTTTGATGAAGTGGTGGGGTTAGTGTTACGCGATAGAAAGAAATATCATAAAATGTAATGTGATAGTGAGACATAGAGTTGCAAAGAGTCTACAAATAGTAAAGAAATGGTAGAATGAAGCAGAAATCAAAAAGAATAGCATAACGAAAGGTAGTAAATTTAGTTATTCTATGCAGTTATTAATTGTAGAAGTGATTAAGAGGTGTCGAGTGATTAGAAAAAGGTTGTTTTTTTGAGAACAAAAAAAGAATAGAAAGTGTAGTTAGTAATTTTCTTGCATGCAAAATTTGGACGTTAGGTTTAGCGCTGATCATAGTTTGATTTTGTTTGTTCTGCAATATTCGATCAGTGTTGTTGTAAAAAAAGGTTGGTTGGAGTATTTTTGGGTCTGAGTAAGATTTGATATTTTAGCTGCAGACCAAAATGAAATAAAACAATGCAATGCATAGACAAGCATTATTGATATTGAAAAGAATTACTATTATTTGCTTATGTTTGCTCAAAACAAAATGAGAGATTAATAGGTACTGCGTAATATTTCGTATGCAATTAAATCTAATCAAAGCATAATGATTTGCTTCAGTTTCAGAGACAAGTCTTCATATTTTAACCCAGAATTGGATTGGTGCAACAATGTATAGTTCAATAGCTTGGAAACGTAGATTACGCGAGCAGCAAGAATGGGAAGGTGAAGATTTTGGACCAGTCACGTGGGAAGAACTTTCAAACATACGTCGTAATTCTGTAATTTTATTCAATAGCGAGTTGTATCCCAACAAAATATCTGAATGGTCACTTCGAACCGAGCGAAATCGTGAAAATAAATGCTATATTTGTGTATTATGCAGAAGACTTCAGGTTAGTTTCTTCTTTTTGTTCATTCAATTTTTTTTAAATAAGTTTCGAAATTGGAATTAAATTTTACAATGTCAGTTCGGCTACTGAAAATTATTTTGAGGAAACCGTTATTGTTAATGCACATTGCTTGTTACTTATTCTGTATATTTCTTTTGTTTAATATTGATTAGTGTATTATCTGGTATCCCAAGAATAAAAGATAAATCGTTTTTTTAAATCATGAAAAGATAATCGAACTATAATAGAAATATTCACGACTTCTACGAATCACAACTTCTACGGATAATTTTTGATTAATTTAAAGTTCGAAAATGGTTTTAACAAATTTTTAAAAAAATTCCAAGTTTTATGAAAAATTTTTTAAACATAATGCAACCTTATATTGATTACTATATGTTCATATTGTTTATTCAAAGTCTCATATTTGTTTTTATAATTATAGTAGGAATGATAATAAGGATGTAATGTGCTATTTTGAATTAGTCTTATTAAAATTGACTTGGTTATGATAAGTAAATATGATTATGAAAGTAATTTTTCTGCACATTATTATGTGGTAAATTTTATATTAATTTTACATTCGAAATGTGTCTGTCGGAAATTTTACTATTTGTAAATTTCCTATAAGTGCTCAAAAAAAAATATCAAGAGTAGTTTGTAGGATCGTGCCAGGCGTCTCACACCTACTGTAAAAGTCGGACCATTGGCTCGAATTACAGTTCGCAATGGACGTTTCTTGACGCATCCAGATTACCCGCGGACCCCTCACATATGTGATTTCGATCGCAATCCTATGTCAGATCGAGCAGCTGTACTTGCTAGACGTGCAATGATTCGCGCACGTGCAGAAATTTATGAGGATGGCATGACACCACAAGATAAAATCAGTCAAGTTCTTAAAAGCTTTAGAGAAGACGAAAAATATTCAAATTTAAGGTATTCTTTTTAAACTTTTTACTTTTTTTTACTTTGTACTCTTTACTTTTTTACTTTTTTTTTGTTGAATATTTATCCATCATCTTTGCGTATTCAGAAGTAAATTTTGCCACCTACAATTTCTAACGTTTTCATGTCAGTCATTGAATACTTTTTTCATGTTAATCAATATGTTGTATTTGAAATTGTTTAAACTCTATTGTCTATGCCTCAGTATCCTAGGACGCATTATAATTGGAAATAAAATATTTTATGTCATTGCTTAAGTTTTCATAAATTTTGATGGAGAACATAATGAAGAAGCGGAATGAACGCAAAAATTACTCCGCATATTTTTGACTTATTTAAAGAAATTCTAGTGCTGAAGAAATAAAGCAAATGGAGGACATAGTGTTGGGACGCATACATGGACGTATGTGGTCGGAATCGAATTCCATTCGCTCATTGTATGGCAGCCGTCGGAAGTCAGTAGATTTTGATCAGAGTGAAAAAACACGTAAGGTTTACGAATGTCCGATTTTGGGTTGTGATTTTCTGACGTATTCGCCAGGTATGATCAGTGTTCATCTAAGCGAAAAACATCGAGCAATTGATGATTCCAGTACTGTTCAATCAGCAAATTTCGAAGCGAAAATGGTCTTTCTTATTGTTTTAGTTTTTGAAGGATAAAGAATTTTTTAGTAGTCGTAGGATCTCATTTGTCTTTTGTAATAATCAGATTTTGCATGCAAGAAAGCAAAATGATCTCATCTTCAGATTTGGTTTATAAAGATGCATTTTATGTTATACATGCATGTAATATGCCCGACAAGTAAAGTTTATTTGAAAATGTATCAAAATTATGAAGAAAACTATTTTTATCAAAATCAACATGTTTTGAAATGTTCATAGCACAGTTTTTCATTTCGTCTTTTTATAAGGATTTTCAGGATCATTATACAGTTGCCTCAGAAAAAAACTATGAAGCAAATGGTTCATTCTTGTCCGATAGCATGCCCATGCGAACGCCTTCTAGTTTGATTCAGTCTGACTCGGTAATCAGCTGTTATTCACTTTCTACTGTATTTTAATTGAAAAAAATTATGGCATTTTATTTCTGATCTGCTTTTCATTTTCATGTATAAATTACAAATCATACTAATGATTAGTTATTTTATGAACTTGATGTTCATATTCAAGGAATTACAATTTGTAGTATTTTATTTCGATCCAGTGGATTTTGACTAAAATTCATTATATCTAGATGAAAACTGCCCCAAATCAAATATATGAATCAGAAGGAGATTATGGACCAGTTATTTATGAAGCTCTTTCATGTCAACGACGTAAATCAATCATATTGTTTGAAAGTAAACGTTTCCCGAATAAAATCTCAGAATGGGCGCTCAAAATGCCAGCAAATGAATTGACAATGTACTATACATGTGTACTTTGTCGTAGTATTAAAGACAAAGGTAAACGGCAAAAGCCGCCAGTACGTTATCCACCTCCTGCTCGTATTGTCGTGCGTTGTGGACGCTTTATGGTTCATCCAGATTATCCGAAAACACCTCACATTTGTGATTTCCCGAATAATCCTTTAGCGGATCGAGATTCTGTTTTATCTAGACGGTGAACTAATTTTCTTTTTGCTTCTACTGTTTCACATACTTTTAATACTAAAATTCAGCATTAAAGAAATATCATCTCAATCTTTCTATGTTTCGATTCGTTTATTACTTTTTGTGATGCGCAGTTTCTTATTTCGTTTGAAAATATTTACAGAATGCTTGCCAAAAAACCGGCACTATCTGCAGATCTCACTGTTCAGAATCAAAAAAAATTGGATCAAAACCCAAACTATGGCTACTTTGTCCTGCATCCTACAGAAGATTCGTCATCAGATGTATATGAAGCTGAAAAACCATGTACCTGGCCAGAAGATCTGGTAAATTCATAGTAGCCTTTGATACCTTTTATTAGTTTTCAGTTTTTTTACCTCATTATTATTGTTTTTTGATGCCTACTAAAAAAAATATCTTAATTTTGACATAAATTTTCAGAAGTCGTATACTTGGTTTTGGTGTTGTTATTGAGGTTGAGGAAGTTAGGCAGTGGAACAGAAGGAAGTCATGGAGAGTTTTCGCTGTGGGAATAATGATATTTTCTCATTGTAATCAGCATGTTTTATCTTGCTAAAATATAATTTTACAGAATATATCTTTTTCCGAAGGCAGTGATGATGACTATGAAACTTTTACTAAGATTAATGAACAGCAAAATATTGATGTGGAATCTGATGAGCTTTCCAGTTTCCAGATGCAAAAGTCTCATACAAATATCGCGGTACTTGTTTATTTCTTCTCCTATACTTGAGTTCTACTTGCTTACTTTAATCAGAATAATTTGCTCGGACGTCAAGATCATAAGATTCTAGGTTAGCAAAAAAAGTTCAGTGATATCGAGATTAGTTTTAGATAGAAAAAGAGAAATCGAGTGAAATATTTTGTTGTTCAATCGTGGGATGCGATTTCAAGGCACCAACTATGATTGATCTTGAGAATCATTTACGAGAACATGAGCTGCTTGATGAGCAAGAAAATTTTCAGTACGGAAATTTCGAATCCGTGAGTTATTTTCAAATGCATATTTTGTTGCGCTATCTTGAGGAAATTTTTCATTACTGTTATAGATTAGAATTAGATATAGTTCAATCTAGAAAACGTTCAGGTTTTCCCTTACAATTTTTCGGCATCTCAGCATTAGAACTCGTGGTATACACAGAAAACAATGATTTTGGTTTAGACAGGCTGTTCTTTTGGAAGTAGTGGAGCTGTGGGGATCTACGATGAAACAGATCTTTGCGGGCCGTTCAGGAAACATCCCAGAATAATGGAGGCTGATCATCACTTTGTATTGTCGACAGAAAATAACGAAGTCGCATGCAATCAGGTTTACTGTTGTTCTATATGAATATGCATTCTTGAGGGAAAAGAATGGATCACAGAAAGTTATTTTGTGAGATATTGCTAAAAAACATTTGTTATTTCTTCGAGCAGATTCAGGACTATTTTGAAAAATGTGATCTCCCCACTGATGTATCGGCACCTGAAAATCTTTACGACCCTGACATTTTACGATCGTCTATTCAGAGGCATCTACAGGTAAGTTTATTAACCAGAAGCGTACTCTTAACGCATATATATACATAATCGATCTGATTTCAGCTTTTTCACCATAACTAAAATATACCGAGTTATTGGTTTTAGCAATGCTTCTGTTTTTTTTTTTATAGAATATTGAAGGATCGTTGGGAAACATCGGAGTGTTGCAACTTGCAGAGATCAATGAACATTTGGACAGAGTTTGGCAAGGACTCTGCGACATACAGTTATGTAACCAACCACTTTCAAGTTTAGGAGCAGATTTAATACAGAATACAGCAGAACCCGGGCAGAACGGAATAGCGATTCCTTAATATATTGCATTCTATCTACTTCTGTACTATTGATTCTCAATAAACCATGATGCTAAATTTACACGGTAAAAGTTTTGCACAAAAACAATGTGAAACATAGCATTATGTTAGCGAAGCAACACAGCAAAGTATTACTTTATTGGTGATAAAGAACCGATAATAATCATAAGTTCTGGAATCCCTATCAGTTTTGATTGAAATACTAAATTCTTAAGACTACATTTTCATTACAACATCATAAGCGACAAAATGCAGGAAATCTGGACATGTCTGACCACCCCCCATGTCATTGCATAAAATAAGGAATAAAACAATAAGGGGGAACCAGATTATAACAACAATAAAGTATCTGGACATATCCTGCACTGAATTTCGTCAAAGATATGGAAATAAAGTTGGTATTCAAGCTTCAATGTGTATATCTTGCAAAAAAATATAGTTGAGTAGTCATGACATGTCCAACACAAAGTACAATTTGGTAGTTATTAAGTCACGCATGAATCTTGAAGGAGATCAAGTTTAATCAAAACAAACAAACGGCACAGACATCTTGCAATTAAATAAAGACTTCGGACATGGCACGGGTGCAGAAAAGTTTTCTTTCGCCCTGTAATAATCTTTTACAAATGGAGCAAATTCATTCATATCTTAATGAAAATCACTTCATTGACTATGACATGAAAACAATTCAAGCAGCAGATCAGTGGTTCTCTTGAGCTGCTTTAAATATATCTTGAAAATTATCCGACTGTAGTTGCTTGTAAGGAGTTAAGTCAAGTGTCAGGATTCCTGATACAGTATGATTAGATGGGTGAGGATAAATACCAATGATAGCATCAGCCTTATTATAAAATTCTTCTTTTAACGATATAACAATCAGCTGCATATCAAGACGCGCCCGTTCACAAATGAAATTAGCCACCTGAATTTCATTTAGTCTAACATATGCCAGACTCTTTCAATTTTGAAGCAATGAGCTAAATAAGCCTTAATCCAAAAGAAACTACGCGACAACTAATCGTTAGATGGCAATGTTTTCAAAAGAATGTGAGATATAACTCAGAATATAAACTAGTTATCAAAAAAACTGTATTCTTTCAAATGTTGAAATAGAAGTATCTCTTCTGTTTTCGAAATTTATAGATAAAAAATCTACTAGTTTCTAAATCCAACCTTTCCTATATTTGTATTATCTAGTGCGGCGTCAACTTCATCTAGGATGAAAAATGGTGACGGACTACGAGCATGGACAGCGAATAATAATGCCAACGCTGCAACAGTTTTTTCCCCACCACTTAAATTATCCATCGGTCTGAAACGCTTTCCTGGTGCAACACAATTATATGCAATGCCTTCAAGATATGGTTCTTCCATATTTTCTTCACCAAGAAATGCCTGCGCACTTTCATTGCGACTGAGTCTCTGCATAACATACCATGAGAGAGAAAAAAATTGGTTAACTGAGTAGAAAAGCAAATTTCTAAACACAACTGAGCAAACCCAATTACTCGAAAAATCTTCTGCATAAAATTCAAGACTATAGTAGGTACTGAAAAATAAACTTTGTATATGTCATCAATTTTTTGTGCAACTGGTTCGAAGATCTCATGAAATCGATTATAACGATCTGCTTTGACTTTCTCAAATAACAAACGAATTTTACGAGCCTTTTTACGAGCCAACTCACATTCTTCTGTTGTTTCTGCTTCCTTCTCCTTCACTATTTCCATTCTGTCAATAGATAACGTAGCAAAGATATATTATGTGGAATAGATTTTTTCATCGCTAGGTCAACAAGGTTTTTACATCTAAGAACGAACAATAACATAATAAAACTAAGAGTTATACAACAATATCACTAACCTTTCTCTTGCTTTTAAATTTGGTGCATTTATTCGTGATATTTTGGCTTGAGATTCACTCATTTCCTTGTTTAGCTTTTCCAACGCCTTCTTTACTTCTTCATCATTATTGAACTGCAACAGACCTTTCGACTGATACTAATGACAATGAAATGAATATAAAAATTTTGACTTTAAGCTTAATGTTCATTCTCTGAAACTTTTGCCACTTTTCTATGAAAATTTTTATCCACTCTTATCGACTTTTTATATACTGGTTTTCTTTTATAATATGTAGTACTTACACCTAGGCTGTCTACACACCATACAATAATAAATTAAACAGTAAAAATTTATGCACTTCTTGAAGATTGCGAGGAAGAGCTCGATAATCTAACTGGATTCTCGCCTCACGATCCATCTGTTCATGACTTAGTTGCTGTGAATCACTTTGCTGTGTCTCACTGCCCGTTGAGTTTGTGGCAACTAAAAAGTGGTAGCAGACTTAATAAACATAATATATTTTTCATTTCTGTTATCTTCAGTGCCTGAGTTCAGATAAAAAATTAATGTCACATTCACTCAATCATTTGCATTTCTAAACCATGAAATTATGATCAGAAATATAAGAAATAAAATACTATTTCGATCAACGAAGCTATGCTAGTTATAATTAGAATTAGTTTAATATAAATATTGCTCAACTGATCCAGATCTTTCGCACTTCCGTCAGCAGTTTTCCTCAGTTTGTAATTTAATTTTTTCATGTAAATTGGTAAAAATGATCACCAAAGAATTAAAACAGAAAATTATTTTAAAAAAACTGAAAAACTGTACTTGACTGCAAAGCATCATCGATTTCAATCTCAGCAAGAGACCCGCGCAGCAGTGGTAGTTCAATGCCACTCATTTTGCACTGGTGTAGCAAGGAGTGGCGCTGATGACGTCGTCTGGAAATCATTTGTTCTAATGCTGAAGCTGCTTTCTCTGCAGCCGATACCTGATGAATATATCAGCGATTTAATAAAAAATTAATGATCTAACAACTAAAACTTGATTTCATAAAATCTTTCTGACATTTCACATTGCCAATAATGGCTAATGACTGTTATGGCATCTTCCTTAAAATTATAGCCTCTAAATAAACTATATTCTTATACAGCGATAATATCTCAGTATTCATACCCAGCAATTATTTTCCTCAATTTACTATCTAATTTTCCCATGTAAAATGGTGAAAACGATTACTTTTTCAGATTATTACTACTTAATAACTAATTATTTCATAAACACCACATTCCACTTCCGAAAAATCGAAACTATTAAAAAAAATAAAGGCTGATTTTCCACAAATTACCTCACGAGTAGCTAGTTGAGCAGCTTTTTTTAGTATGCTTATTTCAGCATCACTATCTTCTAGAACTGCTTTTTTAGAAACAACCGTCATTTTCATCTGTTCTAATTCAACTTCCAATTTTTTTAGTGTCTGAAAGTGAAGAATTTTTTAAAAGTTTCATCAACGGTAAAATATGAATAATGAAAAACTGTCTACATTGTTTAAGTGAAATTCATAAAAAAACATTGAAGATATAAAAATTTTTACCGCATATTCTCCTTCTTCCTTTTTTTTTAAATCTTCAATTTCTTTCGTCAAGCGTTTTACCTTCTCTGCTTCTTGTTTTTCCCTTACTGAAAATAACAACAAATAAAATTTAAGACTCTCAGCATGTTGCGACCAAGAGAATTGTGCGAAAAATCAGCAAAGAAGAAAGTTTGCAAATCATTATATATTAGTGAAAATTTTTAAATTTTATCAATGTAAATTGGTCTCAAAAAAAACCCTTTTTTAAAATAGGAATGAAAAACTGTTTTTTAGTGTAAGAGTGTCGAACGATAAGAGTGGCTAAATACTTGAAAAAACAAATGGAAACGCTACATCGTTTGTCTTCAGATTTTAAATAATCTAATTCATTCCTCAAACGATCTAGCTCATTATCGAACTTCTTTAACTGTTCCTGCATTTCTTCATGAAATCGCATTTCACGTTGTTCATACTGACTAGAAAAACAGAAAAAAGGTAATTATCTAAAGATATCGGAAATTGGACATTTGCTATATTCCTATTTTTGAACTCTACCTTCGTCATAAATAAAACAATAATCTCCAACAATAAAGATCAATACTCGAGATTTTGTTAGCTTATACTTACATACTAGAGACATCACTTCAAGGATGATATTTTCTACTTGGAAATGCATGGTAGCTTTTAACATGCATGAAAAAAGTAAATCATTACATAGGCATTTAGGACTCTCGTTTATCGTTTTTCTAACCATAATATGCCATACTATATATTGCTGATCTTCAGAGTTATCTACTATATTATATCTTGTACCTATACATAAGGCTTTTGTACTGCAAAGAACAAATCACAAAAGAAACCACACCGAATATCTTTAATATTTATGCGCTGACAAAACTCATGGAACACTTCGTCAGTTACGACATTTCGTTTACGCTCCGATTTTTCAATTTGTACTACTCTTTCAGCCATTCTCTGCTCAATTTCATCAATTCTAGGCTAAAATTCAAATGAACATTGCGACCATAAATCAAAAACGAATATAACATAATGGCAAACACCTTCAAATACTAGGTATTTCAAAAATGATATCAATTTTCTTCCAACAAATGTTGAAAATTACAGAGGTCTGAATTAATGGCGTAATTATTTCACCAATTTCGGATTTTACTAAGCGCTGGATAATCTCATTAGTCAAAATGATTGAAAAATAAAGTTACGAGAACTGTTGTATTGCAAATAACTTTTTTAGAAATGTAACAACGACTAATTAAATACGCAATCACCTGAATGAGCGAGAGTTCACTATTAAGAGTTTCGAGATCTTGTTCGAGCTTTCTAAGAGTCAGATTTGATATTTTAGAGTGCTCATTTCGAGTATTTTTAAGACGGTTTTCCAAGTGAACCAACTGATTTCGTTTCATTTCAACATCAAGTTCCTTCTTACGGGTACGATGTAATTGTTGAAGTTCATCTTGCAATGCAGTTCGATTTTCCTTTAGCTTCCTAAATATTTTTTCTGTTGACACAAAACATCTCAATATTAAATGGTTTGACAGTTAAGTTAGTTTAACGACTAAACGACTAAAAAGTAACTTTGATAGGCTTCCATAAAAATTTCGTTTAACATCTGAAACTCTAGCTATTATTGCACAACTATATTATTAAGAAATTAGGAAACTAAAAATCACTAAACTTTCAAGCTCAAATTAAAATAGATTATTTATAAATAAACCTGATGGCATTTTCATCCCATTTTTTCGCGCGTTGTCTTAATTCTTGTCCACCTCCTGATATTATACCACTTCTTTCGAACAGTGTTCCATCCAAAGCTACAGCTTTGTATCGATCTGATGCGCTTCCGTACGCAAGATACCTGCAATCCAATAGCAAGCGAAATCACATGCCAATGCACTCATTTATTCATTAATGACATTCATACAGTTTACTACATTTATAACTAAATATTATGGAAGGGCTTTGAATACCAATGTAAAAAGCAAACAATTTCAATGCGTACTCGAAGAAGTTGAGCTATAGCAAGAAGGTTAAACAGACTGCGTTGTGATGCAATGCACTAATACATTGAACCAATCAATAATGTGAAACAAATTATGGCTCGAAAGAATATACAAAAACAACAATATTTTTTACGAAGTATATGAAATGTAATTAAAATTGAAAATTCATTTACTTAGCATCCTCGGGTGTTTCACAAACAAGAGCATTGCCACAAGCAAACTGAAGAGCTTTCCGCGCAACATGATTATTACACTGTATCACATCAAAAACTAATTTTACTCCTTTTGGCTCTGCTAATTCTCTGAAACCAAAATATGAATCCGTTGACAAAAGAAAGCCAAATCAACTATAAAAATTTAAAAAAAAAGAACTCTAGCAAACAACACCTGAAGTCTCAATAATCATACCGTAATTTTTCTTTTATCGGATGAACATCTAAAACTGATAAAGGCAAAAATGTTTCAGGTGCAAGACGTTGCTCTTTTAAATAAATAATACTTTCACGAGCTGTTTCATCGGTGTCACAAACGATGGACATCATGTTTTTGGCTAAAACCTGAAAACATTTACAACAGTATATCATTTGTTAACATTCATACATTCATTATTGCTTTTTAAAGTTGGATGAACTAAATTTCAAATAAATAAATATTATACACTGTTGCTATTTCTGAAACTTATATTACTATGTCTGCAAGTCCCCTATTACAAATTTAATTTCATTCCTGCATTTGACTAGCAAAGCAATATCTTAACCTTGGTTACAGCAATCTGAAACCGTCGATGTGAGGGCTGACATAAGTCAACCAATCGACCGAACACACGATCTGGAAAAATACGCTTTAAATTTTCAATTGCTTCATTTCGCTTTCTATTCCGCTCAGATTCCGCAGTATCACCGTGTGCTTCTGATAACTGTCGCGAAACGTTATTTAATTCTGTTGTTACTTTCTCTAAACGTTCTTTTGAATCTCGCACCTGAAACAAAGCTTCAAAAAATCTTTTACATTGCTAAAAGTTGGCAACTTTTACTCCCAATTCACTGCTCTCTTTATGTATCTGCAGTTTTGTATATTTAAAAGGCAACTATCGTTTTCAATTTTATGTCACACCTGAACTTCTAGGTTCTCCAGGTTTTTCTTTTCGTCATCAATTAAGTTCGACTGCAATATAATATTTTCAGAAAGCTGTTCTCCTTGCCGCGACAAACGCTCAATTTCCTGTTCTTTCTATTAAAAAAAAGGTTTTTAAATCACTGCAGAAAAATGAAAACACTTGTTGCCCCTTGCCTTTTTATTTTTTTTAAATAACTTAAAACGCTAATGTTGGACCAAAATTTTAAATTCAAAGTTTATAGAATGAAGCAGAAATACAAGAAAAAATAAACAATTAAAACTGCTAAAACAACTAAATATCTTATGGAATGCATTACGTTTGTATTAAAATCATGTTTTAGCTCTAGACACGAAAACCAACATTTTTAACACGATCTACTGCTTGAGCTAAGCGTCTCTGCTCAAACTGTAAATTATTTTTTTCCGTTTCTTGTTCTTGGAGCAATTTATTTAATTCCATGTCCATAACTCCGCAACGCTTTGTTGCTTCACCCTTCAGTGCATAATATTCCTTTACCTGTAACATGCTGTTTCATATAACACACATTCATATTTTGCTCGAAGAATGATTTATCTATTGAATACGGTATGGATTTGTACACAGATGTAGAAAGTCAGAAAAATTTTAGAAAAAGTTAGAATCTAAATAATGAAAGACAAAAAATGGTATACCTGTGAATCGCTCAGTTGCATATCTAATTTCTGTGATTCAGCAGCAAGTTTTGATTCACACTCTTGTTTCTTTTTTTCAACTTCTCTAAAAAGGAGATTCTATTACATAAACTCCTATTGTTTAAGTCAGAAAATTTGAAAATAATTCCAAACTTGAGTTGTTGTTTTAATAAGACCACATTATTTTCATGCGTCTCAGCAGCTCGTTGAGCGTTACTATGTGCTTTATTAGCCATTTCAAGTTTTGCTTTAACATGTACGACTCCTTGTTTGGCAGCAACATATCGCGGTTTCTGTGTCATCACTTCCTTTTCCTGAAAACGAAAGAATAATGTCAACACTATTTTATATACTGTATTTTGGGAACAATATTAACAAATTAATATAAACGGGAAAAGGAAGATGGAAATTTTTTTTTACTGTTTAAGATGATTTCAACCTGATATTTTGAGCATATTTCACTAATTTAAAACTCCATATTTCACTAATTACCTTTTCTGACGTCTTGTTCTCCAATTTATGAATTTCTTTCAAAGCCCGTTTATGTTCATGCTGCTTAGCTGAAACTGCTGCATCACATTCCACTTTTTTACTCGTCAACTCTTCAACTACTTCGTTTTTGCGCTTCAAATCTGCTGCTGTTTCCTCAGCCACTTTTTCGGTATAAAAAAGTTGAAGGAGATAAATCTGACGCTGCTTCGATTCCTATTGCAAAAAAGATGTATTTTTTTAAAAATTCAACAAAAATAATCAAGGATCTTTATGACATAATCAACGGAATTTAATAATAATAATATAATATAATTAGTTTAAAATCACTAATTTAAGGGCATAATTCGTAGACTGTTTACAATTGAAAAAATGGAGTATCTAATAATAATAATCAAGTTGACCGCAAATAATTTGGATAACAAGGTTTGCTTCCCGAAAATTTGATAGCTATTCTAATGTGCTCAAAACACAAACCAGCTCATCCCTTAACATTTGATATTTTTCTGCCTCATCTTTTTCTTGCTTAGCTTCTCGCTTCTCCATGGCAATCCCTCGTCGTTTATTCAAATTAAAAGCTGCTTCTTCTTCAGCTTTTGTCAATTCTGTCTTTAGACGATCATAATCCGCTTGGAATTCACAGGATCTGAAGTAAATTACAAAAAATATGGTGCACCATTCTAGGATAAATATTCTAGATATGAGTAAAAAATTTTTCTTCGGCCGCACACGAAGTCAAAAGAGCAATACAATATAGCTTTCAACTCAATCAAAAAAACCTGCCGTGAAATTTCTTCGAACATATGTGTTAATTCTCGAGGATTTTTCATGGCAACCTGCTCCACTTGTCCTTGATATACAAGAAAATTTTTCGCCTTCATAAAAACATTTATTTCCTCCAAAGCATGACTATATTGTTGTGGTGTAACAGTCTATAAATAAGTAGTTTTCGCAAGAATTTTGAATGTTGAAATAGACAAATTATGTTGGATCTATTTTCAGCAATAATTGACCCTTCTTATAAAAAATTGATTTTCTAAAACAAGCTTAGTTTTTTATCTATTTTTCTTATTGTCCTGTATTTTTATACCTATATAAAAATACATAGACATATGTTAAAAAGTCGCATTAAGAGAACACAATGTAAAAATGCTTGTTAGTTTTTGTCCTCCAGAGGATGAAAAAAAACTGCTGCATAGAGATATGACGAATACGAAAATATTTTGTAATTTAAAATTAATCTAATAATAATGTCATTCAAACACTGAAATATTTTCAGAAAAATTCACTTAAAAATAGTCTTAATTTGACAAATTTATGAAACTTTTTTGTTTAATATAAGAATGATCCAAATCTACTGAAAAAATTGGTGAAAATAAAAATTTACCCAAAATATTGAACAATACCTTGCCATCAACACGATATTCTGAACCTGATCCAGTTACTAAACGTGTAAAAGCATGCATTTTCCCATCATCGTCTTGATAATTCATTGTAACAAGACAACGATTGGCAGCTGCTTTACCTACCGGTGCACCATGAATCAAATCCTGTAGCAGATATGATAGAAATGTTAAAAAAAACCGAGTTTGCATATTTTTTAAACGTTATGTGTCAACATAACGGAATGTAATTAAGACCACTCCAAAATCCTGAACTAAATTCAAAATATTAACACAACTTTAATATGAAATTACGACATACTTGAGCAACCAACGCTTTTTGCAAATCAAGATTGTATCGCCTTTAACTTTTTACATGTCGAAAAATATTTTTCTTCCATTATTGAAATAAATAAATAGAAATACAAAAAGATACATCAAAGTAGTGTTTGGCACAATCTAATACTTAATGAACATTACTGTGACGTATAGGCGTGAAAGTCACATAATAATACTTGATGTAAAATTCCATCACTAGGAAACATCTATTGACTCAACGTATAATACTATATGAAAACATATTGCTAACATGAAGTTTCTTGACACGTAGATTACTGGATTTTTCTCCAAGCACGAAACACATCGCATCCATCAAATTTGATTTGCCTAAAACTGTATACTCAATGATTTTGCTCTAACGATACGAAAACCAAACATTAGTAACCGATGCTTTCCCATGCAAGAATGTGAAGATATGGTAGTGAACAAGATGCTGCTTGAATTTAAAAAACTGAGCAATCTTTCTGGCCATTCCCTAGCCTCAATGAATACAGATTCGTTGCACCTCTAATTAGTCTTCAACCACTGCAGATTAATGAATACGAAATCAAATAATGAAAACATTAACCTGATCCATTAGGGCCAATAATTGCTGTAAATTGCTTGAAAGGCCCAATAATTAGATAGCCTTTATAAGACTTGAAATTTTCTATCTCTAAAGTATGCAATCGTCCCATTAATACTGAAAATAAATAGTTGAGAATTCAAACCCTTACAATATTCATCAGTTTGGAGACTTGCATTACAAATAAAACAGCGAGTAAAATGGCTCAACATGGGATTAAAATGAAAAGTCTAAAAAAAGTTAAATATAAAATTGAGCATTCCTTCTGGCTATTTCCTAGCTCCAACGAAATGCAAATTCTATGCACCTCCAGTCAGTTTTCAACCACTGCAGATTAATGGTCAGGAAAATGAAAGTTTATGACCAAGAAATGGCACAAAATCATAATGTATATAACATACCGAGCAGATGAATCAATGGTCCTTAAGTTCACAAACTACAGAAATACAAAAATCGGACTCTGTGCTCAAAATACAACATACCATACAAAAATTGGTACATATCAAAAAACGTTCAATAATGATAAAAATTGAGCAAATTTTACGAAAATAAATATATATCACGTAACAACTAGAACAACGTTTTACCTTAACTTTTTAATGTCGATTTCACTTCTGCCATTTCGTTTTCCATCAATTTTTTCAAACTACAAAAAACTTTGTCAATTCTTTTGCAAAAATTTTTATTTCCTACAAATTTTGCTTGAATTGACGAAACTTTCTGAAGCCACAAAAACAATGTTCATTTCGTTTAATCATCACGAGACTAAAGTTTAAAACCTTACTTGTTGGCTGTTTGAAAACGCAATACTGTTAATATTTCATAGTGAATCAAAATATTTTCATAATGTTCTCTGATGAATTTGAAACAATTTTCGTACCTTCTTCCTTGGTGCAAAATGTCGGCTTCTAATTGTTTCTTAAATGTCAGTATTGTTGAGAGCATTTAGGAAAATTACGTGGACAGTTATGCATTCTGACATGAAAATGTGGACATTCTGAAACCAAAGATGCCAGATCAGAAAGTAAAAGGTTTGTTGAGTGCTATTCGGATCCCAAAATCTGTTTGATAAATGAAAACGTTCTCTAACAGTTTGGTGCAGTTTGTTACTATTATTCTATAAAACAAATACATTTCAGTAATTAGGTGCTGTATTTTTTGAAATTTTGAGAAAACGAGTCAATAATGACAGAAGAATTAAAGTGGCTGAATTTATCGAATGATAAAGTTGCGGAAACACTAAAAAATAGTGCACTGACGCAAAAATTATTGGATATTATTGCTGTTGCTAAGAACCAGTTGAAAATTTTTGGAGCGGGTAATACAGCTACCAAACAACAGGTTTTTGCTTCTTATAATTACGATATTTAAGATATATTTCAAATATATTTCAAATATGGTACTTCCGTTACATATAAAAAGTTATGAGAAACACGTGATATGGGTATTCTTGTAATTCCATTTATCTATTTTTTTAGTTTTCTTATTGATAGTAAATGTTAACATGTAGCAGTTTTCATCGTTATTTTCATCGTTATTTGTTTTGAAAATTGAGTTCCATTCTTTAATTTATGGTAGTAATGTAACTTTTTTATAATTCAGTGTACCCTGCTGTACCATGTTGGCACACGTCTGAAATCTCAGTGTCACCTACATATGCCATTAATCGTTCGCCATATTATAAATGGAAATATTCGGACAGAACCACAGCTTGCTGCTGCCATTGAGTATTTGCTTAGTAATGTTGTGAAGTGCCTGAATGAACAAGATTTCCTTAATGCATGTGGAGTTGGTTTTGTTGTCACTACTGAAGATATTAAAGATCAGGTGCTCGCCCAATATTTTTAACCGAATTATTCGGTCTTTAAACGTTTTCTCACTTTCTCACTATCTAATATTATTTTTTAATTTCCATCGCCTGTTTTCAGGCTATAGGTGCTATTAATAATAAACGGTAGCTTTGGAGTTAGTTGAAAAATCATTTCTGTCTTCTTTTATTTACTCAGGACATGGTTTCTTAATTGTGGTTTAAATGTTTTTCAGGTCAAAGAATCAGTAAATAAATTCAGATCAGAAATTATGGAACAACGATACTTCTTTAATTCTGGAAAAATATTGAGTCTGTTAATTTATATTGACTATTACCGTCATCATATCTTAGGACGCTAAGAGTCATCTTTGTTAGAAACTATGCATATGTATAGTTTTTTGCAGAAGATGTCAAATCTAAGCTGAAGTGGGCAGATGGTTCAGCTATTAAACAAGAAGTGGACCTTTCTTTAATGCTTCTTTTGGGCCCCAAAACAGTTGATGAGCTCAGTTTAAAAAAAGGAAAGTTAAAAGATACATCAAAGCAGAGTATCACTTTGAAACAAATTGATGCTGAAGGTGTCGCAACAAATTGCTCTCAGAAAGGTAAGAGAGTTTTTTTAATTTGATATAGATTGCTCATCCATCTGAAAAATGATGGATTGGACTATATTTCGAAGACGCTTTTGAATAATGATTACTACCTGTAAAAACCATGAACATGCTTGGTTAATTATCTTTAGATTGTTTAGACGCTATTTTTTTAATGTTAATTGTCTTATATGAAAAGAAAATTGTAGTATTTCGCTTTAACAAAACAGCTTCTGAAAATTACATGATCATTATCTCTGTAATTTTGATCTATTCCTTTTTAGATGCAGAAGGTGCAGATACTATTGAGGAATTGATGCGAAATAAAGTTAATTTTCACAAAGTTAGTAGTATTTTCAATGTTTTTTGTCTTGTAAAAGAGTGTAGGGTGCGCAAATCGCGGATTTTGAATTTTTTTGATTTTTAAAGTGAGTATTAATTTTTTATTTGAGGTTGGCGAGAATTACAAAACAGATGGTTACGTTATTACACCAAATACCAGCAACCTTCTAAAGAAGCATGTTGAAGACGTGAAAGGAAAGGTTAATATATTTTAATCATTGTAAATTTTGTATATTTGTTCGCACGTTTTTAGTTTGCAGACATTTTTATTTTCTTGCAGTTTAGATTAAGATGTAATTTTTGAAATTTATATTAAAAATTTTTTTTGGCATTTATGATTATTCGAGACTTTTTTCCCAAAAATCTATTTGTATTTCTTTCAGGTTGTTACCCGTTTCCCTCCAGAACCAAATGGCTTACTACATATTGGACATGCAAAAGCTATAAATATCGATTTTGGTTATGCAAAAGTAAATTTCTTTCATAGTGCAGTTTGGGTTCTTTGATGATAAATAAAGGCTCTAAGAATATTATGTAAACCATCCATAGTTATTTTTGTATTAAAAGTCTTGCAGTGATTGTAGGCTCATGGAGGTATCTGTTATCTTCGATTTGATGACACAAATCCTGAAAATGAGGAAGAAGAATTTATGGAAAATATCACTGAAATGGTTAATTGGTTGGGTAAGAATTCAGTACCTGCGATACTTGAAATTAATTAAGCACAGAATCTACTCCATTTATGCTCGAAATATTTTTAGGCTATAAACCGCATAAGATCACACATTCATCTGATTATTTTGAACAGTTGTATGAATGGGCGATTGTTCTGATCAAAGAAAACTTAGCATACGTTTGTCACCAAAGCGTTGATGAGATCCGTGGCTTCGAAGTAACTGAATCACCGTGGCGTAATCGTCCAGTGGAAGAATCCCTGCAGCTTTTTCAGGTAGTGTTTACGAGGAAGCAGTTTCACTTGTATGGGTCAAAGACTACTAATTTGCCACTTTAGGGATATTTTTCAAGGTTGTTTATTGAAGGGTTGAGTCTGAAACTTCTTTACTTGTTTAAAATTTCGATTTGGAAGTTGAAGTCGGAAGCCGTTCAAAACTAAAAAGTAGAGTATTTAGTTTTTAAAAAAGCTCCAACACAATTATAAACACTAATGATTATATTATTAGATTAGGGTTATTACAGTAAAATATCAATTACTTTGAAATTGTTGCTTCAGGATATGAGACGTGGCAAGTTTGAGGAAGGAGAAGCGACTTTACGACTGAAAGTTATTTTGGAAGAGGGCAAAGTGGACCCTGTAGCTTACAGAATTAAGTACTGTACACATCATCGCACTGGCAATAAATGGTTGTTTCGTTGAGCCATTCTCATATTTGTATTTTTGTTAATTTTTTGAAATAATTTGCATTAATCAATGTTTACACAAAGATTTTTGTTACTGAATTTACATTTAATGATAACCTATATTTAGTTTATAACTACAGTAAATTCGAAACAAATCTGTTCGAAATAAAAGCAGCTTATGAACTTGAAGTATAAGTGCGCATTTTTTGCAGGTGCATTTATCCAACATATGACTATACTCACTGTCTGTGTGATTCATTGGAGAATATCACTCATTCCTTGTGCACCAAAGAATTTCAATCAAGGTTGAAAGTTTTTTACTGAAGGATGATTTAGCATGTATATCTTTCAAATAGTGCGCTTGTTAATGAGAGACTAAGGTTAAACAAGTTGTTGGAACGGAAGTTCTTAAGTTTTAGAATTAAATACTTTCAGCAAAATATATTCGATTGCAAATTTTCATGATATTGTTGTTATATCCCTAATTATTTCGTCAAAAATTATATGCTTTGTTTTTAAAATCAGGCATGTGTTGTCCAAGAACTTAAAATTACTTCTCTCTCCATATAAAAATAAGCTTACAGACGTAGCACTTATTATTGGCTCTGTAATGCTTTGAATATTTATTGCCCAGTACAGTGGGAATATGGACGTCTCAATATGTATTATACTGTTGTTTCTAAACGAAAAATCAAAGCTTTGATCGATAATAAAAAAGTAAGGTAAGTGGACATCAAACTTACTATTTATTGAGTAAATCTACTGCTTTGCAAGCTGGAAAAATAGATTCTTTTCATTAAAGACTTAAGTACATTTTTTTATTATAAATAGTGTCTAATATGCTTCACATAATTATTAGTTTATAGTGGTTGGGATGATCCAAGGTTATTTACGCTCACTGCATTGCGACGGAGAGGCATTCCTCCCGAAGCAATAAACAATTTTATCGCGCGACTGGGTCTGAGTACTGCACAAGTTTTTATTGATCCTCAAGTTTTGGATGCTACTGTGCGCGATTATTTGAACACATCCGCATCTCGGTATTCTATTTTATGATTTTGGAACTCTTTTTTTTCTATGGACAACTTTTTAATTTGTACTTTAATTATTATAATCTTAGTAAGCATTAATTTTGCTTCGATTTTTCAGTTGGTTTTCTAAGGAAGGTTAAAAGTATTTACTGAAATCTTTATTACCACATTTTTCTGAAAAAAAAAGAATTTCAAAAGAAAATGGGTGTTGCTGTATAGAAAACAGTAAATATATATTACACTGCGGGATAGGAAATTTGTTTTGAATTGAGTAATCTAGTACTTTTGTGCATAATGATTCGCAGTTTGATTGTTTGTTGTTCAGGACTATGGCTGTGTTATATCCGCTAAAAGTAACGATTGAGAATGCTGATAAAATTGTTCTTCCAAAGAGTATATCAGTTCCCGATTTTCCAAATGATGCAAACTGTACTAATTCACATTTAGTTGCTGTAGATCGTACTATTTTTATCGAACAGTCAGATTACAAAAAGGTTAGATTTCGTTTGTAAATAGTTCATAAAAATTTCAAATGTTAAATGCATTATATTGTTTTCAAGTTGAATTTTTCTCCAAACTATTATAGGATACAAATGACAGAAATTTCCGCCGACTAACAAAGAACCAGTCAGTAGGTTTGAAATATTTAGGAATTGTGCTATCAGTCACTGAAGAGTTAATGGTACTTTATCATACATTCATCACATCAACTTTCTTCTGAAATTTCTTTCACATTAACTTTCTTCGAAACTTTTTTGATTTTCAGCAGAAAATTCTAAAATTAGACGTGTAATTTTACTATATTTTAAATTTTTCGTGCTTCAAACAAATGGTTTATTCAATTAAAAATCATAATTTGTTCTATGTTAGGATGGAAATGGAGAAGTAACTGAAATAAAAGTAAGTGCTTCACAGCTTACTTCAGCAAACAAACCAAAAGCGTTCATACATTGGGTTGCAAATCCAATTCGTTGTGAAGTTCGATTGTACAACCGATTGTAATTTTTTTGATACCTAGCATACCTGATAGAATGTGAATGCAAGGAATTTAAAATATATTTTGACAAAATTTTCTGGAACAGAATATCATTTCTGCAACACATTTCTATTGTTGAAGATTGTTGTTCTCACTTATGCTAACTTTACTCTAGATTCAAACATAAAAATCCAGAAGACTCGAAAGAAGTTCCCAATGGTTTTCTCTCCGACTGCAGTTCGGTATCAATCATCCTTTTTCCATTTTTGTTTCTAATTTGGGTTGAGTATAGAGATGCTATTAAATTATTTTCTAAAAAGGCGAGCTGTGTTGAAGTCAGTAAACTTTTGCAACCATTTTGAGAGACAACTTTGCACATCAATTGTTTCAGTGCAGCAGAAAATTAGCAAATTTTTCGTGATGTAATCATGTAGAATCCCCATCAAGATATTTTTCCAGTCATAGGAAAACTTATGTAAATGTTACAGAAATAGAAGATATGAGGCGGAGGATGTTCATTACTAATCAGTATTTTAGGATTCCTTGCAAATTTTGGATGCGGTATATATTGATAAATCAATTTCAAATTCGGTAGTTTACGACCGATATCAATTTGAAAGAGTTGGATACTTCTCTGTAGATCCTGACAGTACTTCTGAAAAGGTCCATAGGTTTTATACATTTATGATATGTATTCCGTCATCAATAAATTTTTTGATCTCTTGTTCATGGTCGAAACTTTGCTTATTTTTTAAGTGCAGATTAATTAAGCAGCCAGCATGAGTACATCCGTCTTCACTCCGATTAAAAATCTGTTACTTATGCACTTTCACTGAAAAACTGTTACTTATCTAATATTTTCTAAGCACCGCTTTTTTCTTAAATGACATTAATAATCAACTTTATTTTGAAAACTGTTGCATACGTCATAATATTTTTGTGAACTTATGAATACTTAAATTGTTGTTGGAAAAGAAATTATAGTTCTATTTATCATAAATGCTAAATGCTTTCATAGCGGTTTTTAGTGGTCCGTTATCTCTTCTTTTCGAATAAAGTATGTTACTGAATTCAACTTTGTCAATCATTTTTTAGCATTGACATCTTGAAAGTTTTAGTCTTATTTTGTTTCATTTTTTTCAGTTGGTATTCAATCGTACGGTGGATCTAAAAGAAGATGGCGGGAAGAAACTGGCTTGATTAAAAGAAATCTAACATCTGTTAATCTTGAAATCATTACGTTTCTTTGAATTTATTTTAAGATTGTTATCGTTCAGCACTTATGTGCATGCTTCTCTTGTACCATTCCCTAAGTAAAATTTGGATACATTGGATTATATTTGAATTTCCCTTAATGTTTTTCGGAATAGAAATTTCGATCAAAACTGCTGTGGCAATTTTGTTGCGAACTTTCAGTGTAAGTAGTTTGTTGATATTTCATGTGTTGATTTGGTCAAGTGGTTTTGTGTTGTGTTCCGGCCTCTTTGTTATTATAATAAACAAGTTTTTGCATTTCTATACGAAAACTCTTTCTATGTACTAATTTCAGGAGCTAATTTTGATAGCCTTATTACATATATTAGTAAATAAAATTTAAATGATGTGCTTAGATTTATCTTGTACCTTGTTTAAGGGCGTTTTCTGACCAGAGAAAACTCAGTCTTGAATTTTATAGTTCAATTATCTGAAATTTGCTTCATACATAATCAGATGTTTCCTAGCAAAATGACATTCAGGTCATCTTTGCGCTAAAGATTCTTATGAAAGCAATACATTATGAAATTCTTTAAGAGGGGTCGACGTTGGCAGCATTAAAATCCAAAACGTATTTCAGATGTTTGGAGATTTTCTCAGTGTCTCTTTGATATAGTTTCGCTACCAGGCATATTAATTCCTGAAGTTCGTGGGATTGTCTTGATAAGTTCCAGTTTGTTGTTCTCGAAAAATTACTTCTCAGGTGGAGTCATCCTTAACTATGTTGATTCGTTACAGTGTTTTATATTCCGTACTTGGATTCTTGAAAAAAAAGAAAATAGGATGTTTACGGCCAGATAACATAATCAAAAGACAATTATGGACTATGGGTATTTGTCAAAGTTCTTCATTATCAAGGTATGTTCTATATTTTACTCTTTATATTCGATATTATGTTGCGAAAATAATAACGAAGTCGACTTTGAAAGGTTTCTTTTTTATCGAAAATGCTCAGTGTTCTAATATATTATTTAGTATGCTATCAAGAAGTTTTGCGAACGGAAGCAGCATATCTCCAGCTATAGAAAATACCACAACTGTAGTACGTAAACCGGTTCGTAGACGTAGACCTTTAACTTCAGTTTATGACTCAGCAGTAAGTGAGTTCTTAATCTAAAAAAAATTAGAATATTCCTTTGAACTATCATTAGCATTTTAATGTGGAATATATCTTTAATGCTAAAGTTTATGAATTTTAAGACTTTTTAAGAAGTGATTAATACGATTTCTAAGTACTGGTACTTAAATATATTATTCAAAAACTTTTTATTATTTTTGTCACAAATGTATTCAAAAGGACAAATTTTGTATAATAGTGCTTTAAATGTTATATATTGTGTCTTCAGTATCCGAGAGGACCTGAAATAGTTGGTGTGGCAATGGCAGAATCTTTTCATCTCATTAATTTACTTGATGATCATAATCTATTCAATCTCTATAACTGCACACATATTGATGAGGGTAAATTTATATTTTAGTTTAAGTTTATCTGATTGATCCCCAGATTGAAGTAATAAGTTGGTCAGTCGAAGGAAAATATTATTTGAAAAAAAAAAAAGAGAAAATCATTGTAAGCGCACAACTCTTTTTCAGATAGAAAAACCATATTTAACTGAGAAAGGTCACTTTTATTGCCAGTAGCACGGATTTTTTACAATTTCGTTATAGAAAAAGTTGTTAATTAAGTTATATTGAAATTAGATTCGCTGCATCAATTTTTACAGTTCTAAAATAATCGTTCTTTTTAGAAAGCTATAATTTTTCAGAGATTGATGATGGTTTACATTTCATACCAAAACCACAATATGTTATTGATAAGGACGCGATAAAGGAATTCTTTCTCTTTTCTGATGGTGTTGTTGTCTTTTGGGGGATCAATCAAATTGAAGTAATAAATTTGCTTTATTTTTTATTTTGTGTAGATAGTTACTCTTTTTTTTTCTTGATTTTAAATAAACTCATTATTTTACGCAATTAACCATAGTGAATTCTGTTCTAAGTTCAAGTTTTTATAAATGGAATAATTATTTTCATTACTTTTTTTTAATTTTATCTTTTATCATTCGTTAATTTCCTCACAACTATCGTTGTTTCCAAAATTTTAAAGATGTATTAATAAGGAGAAGTCAGTACTCACTTTCTTTTACTCTCACTAAGCAGTTTTCAAGGTATCGTATTCCGTTGTGTGAATGAATCTATACAGTGAGTTTTATCGTTTTTGATAATTAACTTCTTATATTGTCAGACGCTTATGTTATATATTTAAGCGTAACCAGATACTCGACATTTTATCACAGTATACTGAACAACCGTATGATTCAACAGTTGTTCTGGAAGAAACTGATACCTTATCATTTCGCATGGTAAAAGAGTAAGTTGAATTTTGTATATATAATTTATCTGGTGAAGCAGTGATTTTGTTAAATTTTGGATTAGGTGTTTCTGATGGGTTTTTATAATTTCTACTACGATTTATTAGTCTCATTTGAATTATTTACATGAAAACACACAAAATTCGTAAGTAAAAGAGATTTATTGAAGAGGCGAAACGCGATTGAAAGGAGAACAGTTATTGCTTAATTTCACGGATTACTTGGACGGACATTTTTCATCATTGGCTACTTTAGAGCGATTTGCTTTTTCCCAAGGAATGGCTGCTTCGGGTAATTTGTAATTTTTTTGTCTATATTTTGCTACAAATTGGCGCATTATTTTTAATCATGGAAACATTTTAAAAAATCAATTTGAAATAGTTATTATTAGGTCAGTATAGTTGCTATTCTTGAATAACATTACATCTTGTATAAAATTTTTATTCTTAAAGTGAAAAATTTTACTATTTTAGTTTTGAATTTGTTTATTGTCAAGTTTATCCTTGAATTATTTTTAAAGTGAAGGTTGCAATTTGGGAGGCGCAGCTAGTCGAATATGCTGAACCACTTGCAAGGGCTTCGAAAGGTTTAAGTATCGGCAAAATTCCGTTAAAAAGAAAAAATGTTTTAATGCAAACTGGTACACTATTATCACTTAGGTGAAGAGTTTTCTGAATTTGTTTTTCGGGTTTCAATTGCTAGTTATAAGTTTTGGGTATTAATGTATATTTTATAAATTATATTAAGTCTTGCTCTATTTTTTAGACATTCAATTAATTTAAATACCAACTTAATCGATTCTGATTTCTATTGGGAAAAACAAGACTTGGAACCGTACTATAGGATGGCTTTGAAACATTTTTCTGTATCCACGCGAAGAAGGTTATTGAATTTTAGTTTTCGAGAAATTGCTTTTTTTGAAATTAAAACCTTTCTAAAATTCATTTCAGAAAACATTTGTGAAATATTAGCATGTCATTTTTTGTTAATTTGTATTTTAAATACAATAAAATTATTGTTGCAGAATGTTAAATGCTCAGTTAGATTACTGCAGTGAAATACTGAGAGTAGTAAACGATATGCAAACTCATAATCGGGTATGATTTTATTATTAAGTTTGTCATAATCAGTGCATTGCTTTAGTAAAAATAGTAATTCACCATGTTTAATGCATTGCTATTTCTAAATTAATGTTTATTATTGGTTTGGAGTACTAGTGATGAAAAATTCAAATGCATTAAATTCAAACTTTTTTTTCTTCGAGAGACTAAAATTTTTGTATACCATCAAATACCTGAGTTAAATATTGAACCTTCATAAAGCTTGCCCAGTTTATTTTACTCTTTTGCTGTTATCGTTTCACTTTCATAGGAAGCACGATTGGAATGGATGATTATTTGGTTAATTGTGATTGAAGTGTTTATCGCTATTATTGAACATTTCGGCTTTAACATGGGTTCACCACAGAAAGTTGTTATTGATAATTGTGATCAGTTGGTAAAAAGTATAAACGAGTTACAGAAGAAGTAGCAGTATTTTGTTATATTTCCTTTTATTATGTCTTTTTCTTTACTATTATTTATCATATTGGTATATTTGAAAAGTATTAATATTTGTGCTAGTTTTTTATACGGAAATCTATTATGAATGCATTGCTGTATAGCGATCACATCTTTCTATCATTTTCTTTTCTTTATCTACTTATGATATAGGAAGTTTCACCTAGTTTCACTTCACTTTTATAGACTCTTTGATGTCAATTGTAATTTCCGAACTACAATAGACCTTTGTAAATTGTTAAAGTACCAGAACATTGAAATCTATCGTTATCACAAATGCTTTATCAAATGACATCAAAGTATCAATCACGTGATTGCGCTCTTAGAAATATGTTTGGTTACTAATGTTAATTTAGGTTTTTCATTTAGGTATATCCAAACTTGTTACAATTTTAGTTGCTTTAATATTATTTGTGGAGCGCTGTTTTAGATACTATTTTTGTTTCCTGATAATACTATAATTTAATAGTGAACGTAATTTCTGGCGGCAGTCATTTCTCTGCATCTGTCGTTACTGCAGTCATACTTTATATGATACTTAGATATTTTAAAGATGTATTTCTTCCATCCATGAGATTAGCTTTGCACATTGATTTTTTATGGCTTGATTCACAATTTTTAATTCTGTTATCCTTTAATGATATCCATTATTGGCAAATCTTGCACGATTAATTGATATTATATTTCGTGCATGCTTTAAAAATAATAAAAAGTTTTTAATTATTGATAGTGTTTTTTCAAAAATGATATTAATAACTGTTACAACTTACAAACATGTTTCCAATGCAGTTAATAAATACGTTGTAAATGATGTTGACTGATGCTTGTTGGAATGCCTGCTCTTGTTAAGGCATTTATAATTATGATATCATTTTTTATTGCACTCGAAACTGAATTGACATCTAATTGAAATGTATTTGACTCAGGAGTCAAATTACTTAGAGTCGGCTTTCAGTTCCATCTCATGGAAAAGTCTTGTTAAGTTCGCGCTTGTTAAGTAACCAGGCGTTTGCGTTTACGTTTACGGTCAGGTTAAAGGGAATTAATTAATCGGCTGAAAATTCCCTAAAAAGGTTTCAAAGAATTAGAAAAGGAAGTAATTTCGTTCTTTGTCTTGAATGAAATATGCTACAAAGTAGTTATTATTTCGTCTTTAATAGATCGTAAATTAGCGAAGCATTTTATTTCATACGATATGAATAAATGTTGAATCAAGGCATTACAAGTTCTATATTATATGGTTCACGCTATTTTTGTAATGACTGCTAGTTTGTTTTGAGAGGTACTTAATAGTAAAGTAAACATTTGAGAGAAGTCAAAGTTCATTTTATGTGTGACAAACACACAAGTAATAGTACTACTATAGCAGTGATAACAAAACATTTGGTTTTCATAAATACGGTGAATGCATAAATATTTGTTGGAGGAAGCTAATTTTCATGTTATTTCCTTGATTTCTGCTTGAAAATGATTATTAATAGCATATTTGAATTATATTTTAAGAAAATTACAATTTGAATAAGCTTTCAAGATTGGTTAATCTCTGAGATCAAATCAGTAATTAAAAATATATAAATCAGGGAAGTCAGAGGTGAGTTTGTAGATTCGGAATTCGGAATTTGACGCTGATACTCTGGTAAAACTTACTTCTATTTCTAATGTGAATTATTTATATCTCTTATCAATCAGTAGTAATGCGTCAAGTCGAGGGTTACTTTAAAAGGGTATAAATTCGAGGAAAGTAGGAGTCTGATTGAGTTTCGAGATAATTTGGTCTTTTTTGGTGAGGATTTACTGAAATGCAATGTTATCTCAGCCAGCTTTTCCTTAGGGAAATTTAGCTTTTTTGACTTAGACTGACTGAATTTAACGTTTACTAAAATGCTTTTCTTATTACATTTACAATACTTTTATCTATTTTTCTAGCAAAACTTTCATCCTCAAATATGTCTTTTCACACTGAATAAATTCTGCCTTTTTTATTCATTATTTTAGTGCAATATCATTTCGCATAATTAATTTCAAAAATTATAGGCGCTAATCAAATTTTTTTGCTTGCAAACATCCGAAAAACACTAAAAAATTGCAGTCAAAAATTAATAATTTATTTTGAGAAGAGAAAATTAATATAGCTTTTACGACAAAATCGCTTTATTAATAAAATTTGAAAATTGAATGCAGAAAAATGAATATAAAGTTATTACTTAATCACATTTGAAAGAAGAGATTTTGAATTTGTTAATTAGGATAGATAATTTAGTGAACTAATTTTATTGCAGTAGTGACTTTATTAAATCAAAAGTATTTCGGTAAAGACTTAAAATATTTTTTTAAATTTAATTTGAATTATTTTATTCTGAGTTTCTTTTACTTCTAATAAATAAGTTATAATAAATTAAAACTTTTACATTATTTTTTACTTTCATAAATTTTTTATTTGCTAAATGAATTAGTGTCTAATATTTGTTTGATTCATTTTCAAAAATTTTAAACGTTCATTTTCAGTGTTCATGAATCATTAAAACATGCAATTATTCATTCAACTGTAGATTGCCTGTAAATGTTATTTTATCAATGATTTTATTAGACATTTTATTATTTGAAGTCTGATAAAAATTGGTTTTTCTAAAATATTGAAAACTGAAGTCAGTTTTTACGTAGTCACGTGATACTTCAATACCATTTTATAATGATCTGTGGTAGGACCAACCATTGCAATTGATCATTTCATTGTGTATTTTTGCTCTGTTATCAGTTTTGAGCCATCATTTAACTATAATCATTTTCCAGTCTAGTAGAACAAATTTAGCCATATCTATGCTAACTAATAATTCACTTTGTACGTTGTTTTTCTTATCAAAATTTTTATATATTATTCTTAAACAAACTTCTCTACTATTCAGAAGTAGAATAAATCTTGATGCAAACAGTTTTTGAGTTCATTTCTAATTTTTATATTAATTGATATCATTCACAATACCAAATGATTGGACTTGATCGAGTTTAAAGCTTTATCAAGTCAAATTATTTATTTAAAATTTATATTTAATATTTTAATTGTACTCATTGTTGTGATGCGTTACTATCATTTTTTTAAATTTAGGATTGCCATGAAATAATTATAATTTAATAAGTGATTAATTTAAATATTTGTAATTTTTTCAGATAAATTTAAGTCAATGCTTTTCCAGTTTAGACGATTTCTGACAAAAACATTCTCAGGATTATCTTCAATTAATTCTTTAAAAAATGATACTGTTCTCACTAGTTTGTATTACAGTACTGATGCAGATTCTTTTCGAATTCATGAATTTACTGAAAAATATCTTAATCATCACAAGGTTTCTCATGAAATGCTTCAACAATTTTATGATGATTAATATCACATATCTTAAATAATAAAAAATATAACCTTCTGAACGTTGACAATTTTTTAACAACAATTTTAGGTAATAAATTTGAAGAGTAGCGATATGTGTGACAATATTTAAATTGTTAAGTAAATTAAAAGCATTAAAAACTGAAATTAAAAAAAATTTCTAAATTGAATTTTTTCAATTTGGAGGCTAAATTTACTGAAAAACTACAAATTCTATCACCAACTGAAGTGTCAACTGTACCAATTTATCGTGTGACGAATTCATTGGGACAAATTGTAGATTCAGAATATCATTTGAATTTCTCGAAGGTTTAACTTTATTACAAATTTATATTATGAATAAAAATCAAACGTACAATAAAGTGTGCTATTATAGTTTCTTTTTTTTTTTTGAAGGAATTTGCCCTGAATATGTATAAGACTATGGTTACCTTAAGTCAAATGGATAAGATTTTGTACGATTCTCAACGTCAGGGACGAATTGCATTTTATGTTTCTAATACTGGAGAGGAGGTATTTTAAACTTTTGAATAAGTCCTTGATTACTAAACAATACTAATTACTTTACAAATTTAATCAACTTTTTTAATATGTTGTATATGTATTGATTAGATCTATTTGTCTTTGCTTACTTATTTCTTTCAAGATTTTATTGAGTAAAATCTGTGAAGTAAGTTAAAAAAACAAAAAATTATTGCTACAATACTTAAGGCTTCTCAAGTTGGTTCTGCAGCAGGCTTACACGATAATGATTTGATCTACGCTCAGTACAGAGAAACCGGTGCTTTGCTATACAGAGGATTTTCTATGGATAGATTTATGCACCAATGTTGTTCAAGTTCCAAAGATATCGGTTAAATGTTTAATCCAATTTTTATCAAAATTATTTGAGATAGCAGACAGAAAGTAGCAACTATAAATACTCGATTAAAATGATAACTATGAATTATTTAATAACAAGATGAATTACGATAATTGGAAAATAATAATTTATTACTTAATATTTGTCTAATAAATTACCTAATTATCTAATTGATGACTTGTTTTTTTCTGAATAGATTTAGGAAATTACTGAAAATAATGTAGCTGAATTTCATAAATATTGAATTAGCTGTTATCTTTTATAATTAATATGGGATAATGCTTAATTCCAAAATACTGATAATGACAAGTTTTTTACAAGAATTGATTGATAAAGCATTTTGATCAGTCAATAAGAGATTACATGTTTTGATTGTAATTCAATTTTATGTCTAAATAATGGCCGAGTTAAGTGATTATCAATGATAGTTTTGGTATATTTTAATTTGATATTGTGCGATACTTCATGTGATAGATAAATATTTTGAATTTGATCATTTGGCAATGATTTTTAGGCTGTGGAAAACAAATGCCAGTACATTATGGTTCAGTGGAACATAATTTTGTTACCATATCATCACCTTTGGCAACACAAATGCCACAAGCTGTTGGTTCTGCTTATGCATTTAAAAGGTTTCAAAGTTTTTTTTTGAATTAACTTTAAAAAAAATTCCACGTTTGCTTACTATAAGTTTCAGAGTCATTCTTGTTAAATTAAAATTAACTGCTTTTTTGACCTGTCTCACTTGGTATGTCTCCATTTTTTTCAAACTTTGGTATATTCAAATTTACATTAAGAGTTTATCAGTTGTCTTATCAGTTGCTTCTAAGCATAAACTATAATGAATCACCCCTTTCACTATGTCATTGACAAAATTCAATTAACGTATTTTGATCCTTGAAACAAAACCTACTGCACATTGTGCTTTAATTTAAATCAAAATTATTTTAGACAGAAAAATGGATCTATTGTTCTGGTTTATTTTGGTGAAGGCGCAGCGTCGGAAGGTGACGCTCATGCAGCTTTCAATATGGCTGCAACATTGGTACAGCTTTATTTAGCAACAATCTATATTTTATAAATCACTTCTGAAAAGTTAATTAATACTTGAGACCACTTAAGTAATTTCGTGATAAAATACTTTATTTATAGATATTTTGCATGTTTTTGAAGTATACTCAAGAATAACTTGCATCTGTAACTTCTATATTGTCTTGTTACTTGCAAAAATTTTTTAATTCCTATACACTTCAACTTCAGTGATCATTTTTTGTAATTCTAGAAGTGTCCAATAATATTTTTCTGCCGAAATAATGGGTATTCTATTAGCACACCAACAAATGAACAGTATAGCGGGGACGGTATAGCCGGTAAAGGCCTTGGATATGGTATCCATGCCATACGGTACTTCGTCTTTTTTTTAGACATAAAAGATAGAACCACCATAATTGTGCATTTAATTCTAGAGTTAGTACTCTCAAATAACTGCAATTCATAACAGTTCTGCAAATGAAATTGATTATATTGCACGCATAAATTTTAATTACATAATTTATCCTTCTTAAAAACTTTGCTTTCAAGTTTGTTTTCTGTACAAAAATAGCCACGAAATAATCTCATATAAGTTAGCAAAAATAAACAAAAATATCTGATAATGTACTTAACTGTAGAATGAGTTGAGCTTAGTTAAGAATTGTATGGAATATTTGCTAGATTAAGAATTAATTTAGAGTTGATGGTAATGATCTAATAGCTGTGTACAATGCAACTAAAGCAGCTCGGGAAATAGCGAAAGACAATAAACCCGTATTAATTGAAGCAATGACTTATCGACTAGCCCCTCACTCGACATCTGATGATCCAACTGCTTATCGGTTGTGCAAATTCTACTAAGCATAATTTCTTGACAATTAACAACTAAAAATACTTTGATTGCTTGCAAATATTTTGAAAGGTGTTTAAAATAAATTTGATGCTTTTCTCACCAACTCAAAAAAGGCGTGAAATGAGTAGTAAGCTTTTAAGTGACTTTTAACGTACAGGTTAAATGAAGAAGTGAAAACTTGGTATAATGAGAATCCGATTCTTCGTTTCAAATTATTTTTACAAAACCAGATGTGGTGGAGTGATGAAGAAAATAATGCTCTCGAAGAGGAAGTAAGCTACTTTTGCATCAATATATATAATTGAATGAATATGCAAACAAATGCAATATTTTCAGGCACGACAACAAATTTTGAAAGCACTTTTATCTGCTGAAAAAACTCCAAAACCACACATCTCGAAAATGTTTGAAGACGTATATAAAGTCAGTTATTAATATTTCTTATATTTTTCAAAATACTGAGTGACCATTTTGACATTTTATTCACTTCTGCTTGTGCTACACGAAAACAATAATTTAATGATGTTATTAAAACAAATTAAGTACTAATATTTAAAAAATCTCTAAAACAAGTTTAATCATTTCTTTTTTTTTTTGCTTTTGTTCATTTCAGCCACTTTTCTGAGTAATAAATATGAATTTCCTAATTTGTAGGAAATGCCACAAAACTTGCGACAACAACATGACCAGCTGATAAAACACCTCAAGAATTACGGTCAACATTACCCTTTACAGAATTTCGAGTCCGATCAAGATTTGTTCCAAGCGAGAGATCGGTGTCATCAGATCGAGTACGTAGTATGATATTTTGCAATCCTGGATCCTCATTCCAATATTGCCTCAGTATGTATTATTCCTCATTGTCATCACTTTAGGTATCAGTAAGATCCTATTCTAGAAACTATCGCCTTCATAGTGACTTCCATAGCAGTTTGACAGAATAACTAATCAAGCTGGAAGTAGAATTGATACAATTGTTTGTATAAATCAACCAATTCCTTTTTTTAAAAACCTTAAAATCCCCCTTAACTTTTTTCCTAACAATCCATTTTGTGTTTTAAATTCAGCATATCAAAAGAATACTTCATTAAAACTCTTATAATCTCAAATAAAATATAAATTCTAAACTGCAAAAATATTTGAAGACAAAAACAGGCCATATACAGCAAATGATAGGTATACAGCAATGGTAATATTCCACATTCAATATCATCTCCGATTCTTAAAACTATACAACACCGATAAAAAGGCGGAAATGAATAGCAAAATAAACGCTTAACCAATGGTATGAAAGTGTTCAAACAACTTATAAAATAAAACAATATAATAATCACAAGCTAAATATTTCTATTTTAAATTAACATAATACAGCGTCTCAAACGAGTGAAGCCTAATCTTCACACCAAGCATTTTCTTTCCGTATCTGTAAACAACGAAATACTGACATCACTGACTGCTGTTTCATTATTTGACATAAAAAAGTTTAAGTGAATGACGAAATTACAATGACTTCATCTAACTTCAAAACTGTCAAAGAGAGAGAAAAGGATCAAAAAGTGCTAACTTTGAACTGTCGCAACAAATATGAAACAAAAAGGAGAACACAACTAATGAAATAGGATTTAATTAGTAAAGAAAAAATCAATGCTTAAAATATTCCGACCTGTTCTTCTTCTTCTGGAGTGAAGTCATTCTTTATATTAAAAGTTCTTCGAATTTCTTCTGGTGATTTACCTTTTATCATATTAGCCACTGTTTTGCATGTGACATCGAGCAACCCTTTGATGTCCAGATAATTCGCTGCCTATTTAGTGCAGTAATATAATATAGTGGTGTTGTACATTTGTGCTTTGCGCCATCTTTCTACTTAATCTATGATGCTCAATAGTTGTGACCAAAATTTGCGAGGCACAAACTTAAAATTCTTTAATGTATGGCAAACGATAACTTTAATGAGTGTTAATTTATTTGTAAAAAAAAAGCTTAAGGGACCCCAGATTTACCAGAATGAGCTCGAACAAAGTGCCTTGATCAACTTTAAGAAATTCGACATCCCACGATGGAATATCATCAGTACGTTTTTCTTTGTTATCACCATCATCTGGTGAGATCGGATCATCTTTATGGTATTCACACCAATGAATAACCTTCAATACTCATTTCAAAGAAATAAAATAAGAATCAAGAATATCAGCAAAATCTAAGCGTTTCCAGAAAAATCTGGAAAAACACGTATTTCATTTTTAAACTTAGTAACAATGAAATGGAACACGCACGCCAAATATACAAAATCATAATACATGTGCACGCACACAAAAACTGTGTATTTGTAATTTTGATGTTGTTTTTATCTATTCGCTACGAATCTCCCTACTATTTAATAACTGTACAAATAAGGTACTGTTCCTAGCTTTTGTAATTTTATATGTACGTAAAATCTGCTGAACAAAATAAAAATTTAATCACTTTTTTCAAAATAGAAGAATTCACATTCTGCAGAGGAATACCTTCCACCATATCGATATCACCTCCCTCTTGATTATCCATTCCCAAATCTGTACAAGAAAACATGTCAAGAGCCAAAATTATATGTGTAGAATACAGAACATAAACATTCATAAGTAATCAAATTACTGTATTTGCTTTATCGCAAGCAATTCTTAATTAGAATAATATGCATAATAACCCTGAAGCATTGTATTGATAGTAGTTGACAAACGAATAACATTCCGATCTACTTTGAATGTTTCTTTATCGGATGAGATAAGAGTAATTTTTGGCTGCTCTACTGACTGTTCAGTCATCCTCGGCAATAACTTGATAACAACGCAAATTTAAACAGCCTGGAAAATGATTTATTATTAAGTATAATTTCAAAGGAACAACAGAGCATAAAATTGATGACAAAATCCGTGGAATAACAAAAGATAACAAAATTGATTTAGATGCTTACTAGATAATACTAAAATCCAGATAAAAAACAGAAGTTCCAGAGGTCTGAAACTGTTTCAGAAAATAAAGATTTTATACTATATATTGTCAAAAGAGAAGATTAAAATACTGAGCAGCAATTTTATTTCTATAATTAAGAAATAATGCAAGTCATCTTAATTATCTGCTGAATCAATTTAATACATCACAATGGTAAGGAAAACTGATGACAAATGATCATCTTGCTACTTTTTGCATGCACTATTGCCGTTGATGAATCAGATAAAGTAGCAAAGTCACCTGGTAGATAATTCTCACAAGATAAAAATTCAATACTTATACGTTCAAAATGTCTTGGATAGACAATTAATTACAAGAAAATGCTTGACCTTTCACAGCTTTTACCGTCACCTTCATTTAGCCATCAGCCTTTAACTTGCCAATACTTACAACTGGAATTGTTAATAAAAACCTTCATGATGACAAAACACTCTCAAAGAATATTTTTAAGACGTAATGCAAAGTGTGTAATTTCACTGCCAGTTTTCAAGCATCCCGTAATAACCATTATTAGTTGCCGGACTATTTTTGCGAAGACTAAAATATTGTTTGCACCTGAAGCTTTACGAAACTTATACCATGAAGTCCCAAGATCAGAGCAAAAGTATCCAGAGAAAGATCAGCAAACTACACACAAGGAAAACCTGATAAAAACAATTCAGACTTTCGAGCTTATTTAATTACAATAAATATATACATGTCGTTATTGATTGAAATGCTTTGATACGAAGATCGTGTATTATTTAATAACTACACGAACATGCTGCAATGTCACTGACAAGTAAGGGAACAGCTTCTGAGTAGACATTATTCTACAAATATCGTTTATTTCATATAACGTTTGAACGTGAACTAACGAAGAATCCTACACGATATGTAATCTTATATCCGCCCGTAGTAATTAATAGCTTAAACCCAGCCAATTATAGCCAGACATAAGTAGTGTTAGACTTTTCACGAATCTTTGACACTACGTGACGCATAACGGTTATTGCAGCTCAAAATTTTCCCTTGCTAACTTTACGTAAAAAGTAATTTTTTTTTATTTAATCAAGAAATTACAGTAGTGACATTTGTTTAAGGTCTACTTTACTGAAAAAAAACTCATAATTTTTCATCAGGATGAATTTTAGACAAAAAAACCCACAAAAGTTTTGATTTTGCTTTTTTTAAATATTTGTGAAATAAATTTTTGTTGAGAATAGACTTGAGAGAGACATAACGAGCATTCTAAGCAAAAAAAGACTGTGCCACTTAATATTCTAATCTAATTAAACTTTTAGTTTATTTACTCTAAAAACTTGTAAAATTATTTTCAACTTTTTTGCAAGAAAAATCATTGCTGAGTTTACACAAATATGCAGCAAAGTGATACAGAAATTCAATGTAAGTTACAAAGTAAAATTTTTAAAAATGGTACAAAATGAAATATCAATAAAAATTTGCTACAAAACAAAAATTGTACAAGTAAACTTTTCATCTTCTGCTGCATTTTAGAACATACTGGCATTGGAAAGAAGACAGAAGACTGTCTATGCTAAATACTTTCAAAGAAATTTCAAAAATTTACAGCATATTTAGCATATTGAATCTGCTTACTGCTTTTTGATACAAAATTAAAATTTATATACAAAAGAGTACAAAAACCATCTATACTGAATCTGAAGGAATGTTATTTGTATGTAAATTAATTGTAATATAGGCAGGCGAATACTATTACTTAAAGCTTAATATTTAAAAATATATCTCAAAAGAGAAATCAAAAAGTGTCAGTGAACTTGACATTGAGATATTACTTATTATCACAAGGAATTATTGATAAATATGCGCGCAGAATTTCGGCATAAACTGTTGCTCAAATTTCGCGCACTTTTTACAACAAAAATTTGCTGCAAAATTCGAACGCTACTTATTTTTTGATTAATTTTTGAAATAGAATAAAAATTTGTTGCTAATAAATCGATCATATATGTATTGCAATGAAATGAAATTTTAAAATATGTATATGTATAGGATATACTGGATTCTAAAATTATTCGCGCTAATTTGATATTTTAATTTAATTCTAAAAGCGGTAAAATGTCTTTGATAATTATTTCTGTAATGTTCCAGTGGTTATTACTACTTGTAATACAAGAAATTAACGAGCAACTGTCCTTTCTTGTCTTTGTTTGCTTGTTCAAAATGAATTATAACTTAGCACAACTGCGCACTAATTTGCTTTCAATAACCGCCAAGAATTTCCATTTCCGCCAAATTTTAATTGTAAAATTTTTGTAAAAAGTTTAAAAATTGTAAAGAAAAAGTAAAATTTCAATCTCTTAACCTATCAATTTGTTATTTTTTGCTGTAAAATGGAAAAAAATGAACTTGGAAAGTAAATAAATATATTAAGTCTTTTAGTGGTGAAAAATTTTTCTAAAAGTTTCAGAAATTTAAATTTAAATTGGCAAAATAATTGCGATTTTAATCATTTTATCAGATAAATTATTTCAGTCATAAAAGAATTCATTTCAGAAAGCGCAAAAAAAACTAAATAATATAACATTTTTCAAAATTATACTTCTTTTCATGAGTAAAATAGCTCAAAAATAAACAAATTATTAACCTGGAATTAAATTACTGCTGTAATCAAAAACTAATAAAAAATTTGTTACTTAATACTTACCTATTTTTATTGTAATTTATATGTGATTACAGTAATTAGATATCCTAAATTATTATAAAAACATAAAGATTACATCACTTTTCAAGTTACTGTATTTGTTTTCACTAATTGCTAAATTATCAACTTACAAAGTCTAAAGTTGTGAAGTTAATTTAGTTAATTTTACTTACTAAACAGATCAGCTGTTAGGCTGAAAATTCTGGAACCGAATGGTAATGATTTACTGATTGATCTATTAATTACCACTTATTATAAATTCGAAACTTCATAATAATTGCCAGTTTTGTAAGTTATTTAAAGCAGCAATTTAGTATTTGAAAAAATTTATTTAAATGTTTGCATTAATATTTGATAGATTAGATTTTTAGCATTATCCAAATCTTTGAACTACTTCATGTCTCTGTAATAATCTTATTATGGCAAACTGCTGAGTTGTTTTTGGAAAAAGAATTTATGCAAATATCAATAAATACTTTATTTGAATTCATTTATGGAATAACTGTAACTTTATCTCATACTTACTCACTGCTTACTGATTTCAGTATCGATACTTGGGTCAAATGTCAAAAGTTTTTTTACTTATCAAAAATCAAGCAAGTAATATGCATTATAAGCAACTTTTTTGACTTGTGAAAGCTACTTGAAAGTGAAAATTATTCAAAAATGTGACTAAGACTGCAGTAAAAATAAAAACAGGAATGTCTTTTTGCTGTCAAATGATAATAGCTTCTAACCTTTGAACTCAACCTTTAACCATTTCATTCTCTTTTTATTATATTTTAAAAATTTATTAAAATTTCCCTTAGATTTTTTATGCAATTTTTTGACCTAAAAAATGCTTTAAAACATTGAAAAGCTTCAAGTAAAAGCTCAATCATAAATGCATTCATTAAAAATTTGAAGCGCTCTAAAGCTAAAAGCTTTTCTTGTCAGTTAGTCAGTTATCATTTTCAACTCTCAAATAAGTCAAAAAAGAGGCTTTTTGAAAAAGAATCAAAATGAGATGAGAAATAGATAAAATACATTTATGTAATTCAATAAATCTGATCCGATTGATTCATATTTAAAAACTTAATTTTAATAATTAATTCTGATTTGTGTGATTCGCTCAGTTCTTAATTAATTACAGTTTTGGTAGTAAGTCATTTTTGAGACTAAAATGAAATAAGCATTAATTTAAGTCAAATTATTAACTCATAAGTATTGTGAGAAGAAACTTTAACACTTATTATGGATGTTCAACTTTTAAATATTGTAAGAACTGACGTGAAAAAATTTTCATTTTATAAAATTAAAATTTATGGAATCTGTTTTTACTTCAAAAAATTTATCGCAATACTGCATTAAATTATAAAAAATAGGTCAAAAAAAACCAAATAAAAAATTCTGAGCAGAAATTAGCTCAATTTTTGAGGATTCTCGGAAGTAATCTATCGTTTTCAAATGACTTTTGACCACAAATTCATCTTTGTTACTTACATTTAAGACTTCATCAGATGTTTGACTTACTTGTCTTCAGTGACAAGTCATTTCAGACCTTTTCACTGCTTTTCATCTCTTTACTTCGTTTTTATTCTTCTTAAATCTCACTGAATTGATTAATACTTATTAATGTACAAACGGATAATGCATGTGAGTACTCACTTATTTACAGTATTTGTCATTTTTTGACTTTTGGCATCTTTAATTTTCTTAAATTATCAATAAACAGTTCCAAGTACAGTATCATTAAGTATAATCTTATAAAAATTACTCATTACCATACAAATAAACTTAAATATAATCTTAATAAAATGTATAATCATTATCAAAATCACTGATTTAATTTATCAAAACTGAAAAAAAGTTTGCCCGATTTTGATTCAGTCTTTAATTTAATTCTTACAAAGATATACTTAAAATATTATACATATAAATTACTTTTAATTTAATTGTTCTGAAGGGTATTTTTAAAGTTTTTTGTGATCAATGAATTTTTACTTATATTTAAAAAAGATTATTTTGAAGCCCTGATGGCACTGCGATGCAAGATGCTCTGAAATTGGTAATTTACTCGATACAAATTTTGCTTCATACATTTTTCCTTCAATTTATATTGTTAACAACGATACTAGCAAGTAGTGATATTGATGACATTATCAGAAATCAGAATTACAACAACAATATCAAATACAAAATTCCGTGAGCTTTACTGCACGAAATATAGATGAATACAACAAAGGCATAATAAGATTATTTGTAGCATTTGTTAAAGTTGTGCATTTTATTTTGGTATTTTTTGAATTTTAAAATAAAAGTATTTTTAATTTGCTTTAATAAAAAAATTCCGTGAGCTTTACTGCAAGAAAAAATTTTAATAAATAAAAATATTTTCAATAAATTTAAAATAAAAATATTTTTAATTTGTTATTGAAAAAAAAACTTTGCAAATATAAGCCAAGTAAACGAAAATCATTTTGTGTGCGTTTTTTTTAATGATGAAAAATATTGATTAGCTTCAAGATAATTAATTAATTAATTAATTGTAATCAATTTTCCACGATTAGTTCTGATCATTTGATGAAATTAATAAAAAGCGTTTATTTGTAATAATTTATACTGCAAAGCATTTAACATAAATTGAAATTTCAGTAACAGATTAATTAATTATGAGAAGAAATGAATTGACTGAATGCCGTCTCCTTTTCATGCTAATGAGCAATTCTTCATGTAATCATGAATGTATTATGCAAAAAATGACCAAAATGACTTAATCTAGCAATGATCAGTTACCCCGCCATCTGCCTTATTTTCGAGAAATTCAACTCTCTTAGTATTCACAAAAAATTAATTCTTTATCCGCACCACCAGAATTTTTGTATCTGAATATCAAAATAGATTATTCTAAATATCGAATTTGTATTACGAAAAATTTGAAATCATAATGGAAATTAATAACTCAAATTTTTTCGTTGTAATTAAGTTCATCTATTTGCATATTGCTAGCAACATTAGAGTAGAAAAATTGCAAAGAAAATTAGAGAAACAATTATTGAAGCAAAACGAATTTGTCTTTGAATTTTTTAATCCTTCCCAAATATCACTCATTCAGAATAGTACTTTACTATATTATACTATACTATACTATTTTATCTATACTATATCTTTCTTTACTTTGCTATACTATATACTATAATTTAATTTACTTTACTGCAGAGTAATGCTTGATAAAGTGCTCATGTCAACGTAATGTAATGTAATGTTTAGATAAATTTTAGTCTAATAACATTATTTTTTGTTTGTCAAAAGTAATCCACAAAATTGCTACGCAAAAAAAGTTGTTTTTTGCATAGTTCACTCGCGCGGAAATGAAATTTTGGCTATAAAATAATATTTGAATTGGATAATTTAAAAACATTTTATTTGCAAACATTTTTATTTTTTAGAGTAAATATAACTTATGCTCACACTTACAGAATTAGTAAAAATTTTGAAGTGTTAATAAAGTTATTAAAGTAAGAATTTTCTAAATATTATACGATAAAAATGTGAAAATTCATTACTTCTTTATAAATTTATAAAATAAGTAATTTTGAATATTTTATGTGCCAAAAAAATGTAATTTAAAGTTTTTTTTCAGAAAATGATAGATGCAATTATTGCTTAAAATTTTGATAATAAACAGGAATATATAAAAATAAAATTAGTTAATATGAATATAATAAATGGAGTATTGAAGAACTTGTTTACTCAATAACTTTTAATAGTTTCCCATCGAATCGATTAAAAATGTAACAGTTGTCGCGCAATAATTACTTTTATGCGTTTTGCATTTATTCACTGACAAGCTAAATTTTATTTTACAACATTTAACTGAAAGATATAAGTATTTTTGGATTTTTTATCGTAAAATTTACCTAAACACTTTTGGCTAACTTATTTAAAAGCAAAAAGTATTTTCAATTTACTCATTACAACTTTTGATCCAACCATCCATCCATCCATTTATCTATTCTGTTATCCTATCGAATATACAAAATTTACAACGTTTATTACAACTATTTTAGTAATTACAATTTACAGATCAGTTTCAATCTTATTTTTTAGCAGCACAGTGACTTGCGGAAATCAAAATTTAGCAAAGATTTGAAAATGCTTAATTTATGTAATATTTATGTAATAGTATCGAATTTGAATTGAAATAATATTTACTGAGTACTTATTTTGCAAAAATATAAGCAGTAACAAAATAAATATTTTTTTGTATTTTATGAACTGAATAATTTGATTAAATATAGTTTTAACTGTAAGGCATACAGTGCTACAAAAATTATTTTGGATGTCTGGATCTTTGCTTAGTTTAACTTTGACTATTTAAGTCAAAAAATACAAAATTAATGCTAAGTGCAAAATTTTTATTTTTATTTTTATTTTTGCAAAAATATGTAAATAAATACACAAATTATTCTTGCAATAAACAGATGTTAAAAGTGAAATTATTCACTTAACACTAAATAGCATTAGAAATGAATATTGTGTAAAGTTAAGTGATAATAACAAATTTAATTGCTTTGAATGAATTTTGAATTTTCGATCGTAAAAATTTGAACGAATAAATTTGATTACAAACTTTGAATTGTTTGAATTGCTAAGAAATTGGATATCTGAATCTCTGCTTACTTTAACTTTGCCTATTTAAGTCAAATCAAATGTTTTAAGTATTCATTCAATTGTGAACAATGCTTGAATTATCCTTATAAATTCCAATCCAAACTTTGGTTTTTGATGTTTTACAAATATTAGTCTCATTGCGTGCATATTCAATATTGCATATTTAAATTTATTTGCTTTTTGCTTATTTTATTTACTCATTTTTTAAATTATTTGCTTTCTTTGTAATTAATAACATATATTTTAGTACAAATTAATTAATTAATTTGCTAGCTATAATTTGCTTAATTATTTTTATATCAAACAATGTATGGTAATATTAAATCGAAATGCTAAAAAATGCCTCATTTAATTAATTATTAATTTATTAATTAAATTATTAAGTGCATAAATCTTGTATTTATTATTATCTGCGGTTTTAGTGCACAACTGAATTGGTGGAAAGCAAAATAATTTATCACTGCTAGATGTAAAAAATCATTTTGTGAACTATTCTGCAAAAGATTTCAGTGATTTTTCGTTCGAATAATATTATTCTCTTACAATTCAAAGTTTTGTTCTGTCATAATTTTTCATAATTTTATCCATATTTGTATTCAGTAACTTTTTTTACAATTTTTATTTAGTAAAACAAAAGAAATCAAATACAAACAATCAAAAACATAGAGCAAAAACAATTTTTTTTAGGAATTTTAACTTTTTAAAAAAAAATTTTTTTCAAAAGAATTTTAAGTTTTTTATTTTAATTGTTAAAATTATTTCAGTACATACTCATTTCTCATTTATTTTGTTCATTTTTTATATTCATAAAAATGCATTGCCAGAAAAAATAAAAGTTATGAAAAAATAAAAGTGAAAAAAATAAAAAAAAATGTCTTTTGGATTTTAATACATTATAATAAATATCACGAATATAGCAAGGCACCTTACTCTTACTCTTACTTTACTTTTACTTTTACTTTAAAAGCAAAACTTGAACATTTCGAGCTTAATCAATGCTGTAAAAAAGCTGCTGCAAGTGTAGAAAAACCAAAAATTTTAGTTAATAAAAATAAATAATTTTTATAAAAATTATGTATTTTGCAAATTTTCAAAAAATGAAAATATAAAATTTTTTTGAAAAAAACAATGCTGTTTTTTATTTGTATATATTTTATGCTAAGTCAAATGTACTCATAATATTATAGCAAAAGTAGCAGCTGTTATTTTTATCGTCATGTGAAATCTTTGTTGTGCGCAGTATTTAATCATTTTATAGTTATTTATGCAAAAATGTTGTACTCAATCTTGAAATCAAGAAATTTACTTAAAATTTGTTACTTAATTGCTAACTGTTTTGATTCGCTCTTAAAATTTTATACTTAAAAAATTCAAAAAAAAACTATGCAAAAAAATGACTGGCATATTTTTTAAGTGCTAAAATTTTGTTACAAAATTTCAGTTTTACAGGCATGTTTTTGCAATTATTTCAGTACATAATTATTGCTCATTTTCGTCTAATATTGTCAATTTTCAGCTTTAAAAATTGTATTTCAAGGCTAGCATCAAAGTATCTGCGTTAAATAATTCATAATATTTTATAAATTTTTTTAGCACTTAAAAATATTTTTTTCATTTCATTTATAGAAAATGCATTAAAAATATAATATGCTAATTCGTATCAAACAAATCACTTTACGTTTAATTCCGTTCGTAAACTTACTAGTAGAACAGTGATTCAATGAGAAGAAAGTTCAAGAAGGTCAAGATATAATGCGCACAAAATGACGTGCAAAAAATTTTTAGCTTTTAAGTACTAATTAAGTTTTAATTTGTATGCATCATTTTTAACTTCTGAAACTTTTATCAGAATTAAATTTTAAAAATAAACGTAAATCTCGTCGAAATCTTTTTTTAATTACTTAAGCATAGATTAGCTATAAGTTTGAGGATCGGTCAGGCGGGTAGGAAAGTATTATGAGTTTAGCTAGAATTTGTCGATTCTCGATGAGTAGATAAAACAAGTTTTAGACATCTCTTGAAACAGCTGACCTTGCAACTGTGCAAGTAAGTCTTTCTACTTTCAATCAACTATTCTCGAATATTTTCTCGAGAGTTTTCGAGGCTTCTTTGTAGTCATTTAATATTTTTCCAACAACGATTTTCTCGCAGACTTCTACAATAAACGTTTTATTCATGAAATATTCACAATTCATATTCAAGCACTACAGTAATGTTAGAGGATTTTGAGACAGTCAGTTGAGTGATATTTTTGAAAGTACTTTTTATCTGCAAAATCCACTCCTCCAATGAATTCTTTGCAAATCTTATGGCTTTTTATTATTAAAAAAAATGTTAACAAGAAGTACAGTTTCAGGCAGTTTTACTTTTCACAAAATCCCACAGTAAGGATAATAGTTATTATGCATTAAATTCTTAATTGTTCCTTTCAATTATTTCATTTCATTTTTTGCAACTTCGACTCCATACGCAAACTATTTTTGTTGAATTTTATTTATTATTATTATTACTATTATTATTATTATTATTATTTTTGAATGCTTTTTATTATAATTATTTTTGTTATTTATACTATTATCTCATTACTGCAACAATAAACATTACTATGATCACGTCAGACTACATTTTTCCGCCATTCGCGATCAAAAAACTCATATCTCATTAATCTAATAATCAAATGTTTTTTCATTAGTACTAAGTTTTTTTCAAATTTTTGTATTTGTTATTAGCAACAAAATCATTCAAATTAACTAAACAGAATGATTTATTATAACAAATCAAATTTGTTGTATTAATCAAACAAATGATAAAATTTTTGAAAGTCACATGAAAAATACTGAATTGTGCTAATACTGTTTGAATGTATGCAATAAAATTATCAGAACAAATTATTGGCAGTAAGAGAAATATTAGCAAATATAATTTCAATTATCAATTCTTAAATTAAAAGTTTTAATTATTATTATTATTATTGTTATTATTATTATTATTATTATTATTATTTTATTATTAGTGGCTGACAATTTTGACAATTTGTATTTTAAGTCAAAAAATTCAACTTATTAAAATACTTTTATAAAATGAGTGTTATTTCCAAAGTCAGTATGAATTTGTTTAGTAATTTCGCAGTAAGTTATTAATTACAAAGTACTGTTTATTACAATTTTAAAAAATAAACCAAAGTATAAAAACTATAATATTCTTTCAGAATGTTTAAATTTACTTTTCAATATACCAGATCAAAACTTTGAAATCACTAGAATTCTTAGCTTAATTAGGTTGGAACTTTACACTGTAAATATACTGTAAATTATAACAGTAACAATATCAGTTGATAAGAATACTCTTTTAGTTTATTTTTTTGATTCGTTTGTCAATTACTATTTTTTGCAAATATTTAAAGCTTCCCATACTAAGCAGTAATATGCTATAAACTATTTCAGCGCAATTGGAGATAAAGTCTTTCGCTCGCTTAAGCGCTAAGTGCAGCTAAATATTACTAAATTCACTCACTTTTATCATCACTGCTCTCATTTTACTTAATAATTTTGACATTACTTACTTTTAATACTTCATTTTACTGTTCTGTTTGTAATTACTTATACTTAAATCAAAGAAAGTAATGACTGAGTATGAGTTAAAACTGCTTTTTATGCGATAAATAATAAAATGCTGCATTTTTTGCAATAATAATCTCTTCAGTCGTTCGTTCCATTATGCAAATCATACGTTTGCATTTATCTCTTCGTGCAAGCAAATGCCATTTTGAAAAGCCAAAAACAATAGATAATATTTTCCAAATTTTTGTTTAGATTTTTAAGATTTTATTTATTTTAAATCGTTTTTTTTACGCAAATATTAATATTTTTCAAAAATTAATGTATTATATTTAGTGCAAAATTAGAAAGAGTTTTGTGATGAGTTTACTTTGTGCTTTTAAAAAAAAATTATTAATAAGTTATTATCAGAAAGATTTTAGTGCAAAAATGTATTGAATTGTTAATCCTCCAACTATTTTAGCTAATTATCCATTTATAAATTAGCTTCAAAATTCATGAAATATTGTTAGCATAGGAATTTTTTAAAAATAAATACTATTTTTTAATTAAAACATATGCATTGCTTATTGATTGATTCGAAAACAGAATGCTAAATTATTACAGGAATCCTATTATGTAATCAGAAATTATGTAAATATTACTCATATTAGTAGTAATTATTAAATTTTAATATGACATTACGTAAATCAACAAAAAACTCGCTATAATTCAAAAAATTTTGTTACTGTTATAATATCCGAATTTAGCGAAATATGAAGCTCGAAGACTGAAAGTAATACTTGATAATAATTAAGTATGTATATTCAATCTACTGAATTTCCATTTCAAGCATATTATTTTCGTTTGGCAGATTTCAAGTCCAAAACAATTATTGATCATTATTTTGTTAATTTTTTAAAATAATCAAACAGTTTGGAATGCATTGAGACTAATTAAGTATATTTTATTACTTAATTACTTAAATACTTTTTGATCAACAAATCAATCAATATTTTTATCCTTTTTTGTCCTGATTCCTTTATACTTTGCACTTAAGCTAAGTGTAAAATTTTAATAAATAATAAAATATGTAAAAATTATTTTTTCATATAATTATATGTTCAAATGAGTTTTTAAAGTGAGTAATAAATAAGTTTTGCTTCTTTATAAATCAAAGGCAGATTAAAAATGAGCAGTAGTACTTCCTCAGTCAAAAGTTTTTTAAATTTTATTTCAAACAAGCACTTTCATTTATGCATACAAAATCTCAAAATGTTTAAAAAATGTTTTGGAAATTATAAAGCTAATATGCAACACATTCACCTTTAACCTTATCTGGACATTTGCTTTCTAACACACTAAAAATGTTTATCGTAATGACAGTACATTTCCAATGTTAGAAAAAGGACAGTTATTTGAGTAAGGATTTTTCTATTTGTAATTGATTCCATTTTACTGTTTCTGAATCAATCTTCAGAAATTCTTAATTGTTCTGGAAATTAAAATACAGTACAACTGATTATGGCCAACTCGATGATAGCATTTATTGAGTCGTTTAGGCTTATTACAAATTATTTATAAAGGTAGCCTTGTAAATTATCAGTGTATACGCATAAAAGTTTGAGTTGTGACTCAGTTTTATAACGTAAAGTATTTTATTGAAAGTATTGTAAGTGCTCAAATTAGAACTTTTCAATAAGTTGATTGCTCAGTTGCTCTGACATAATTCATTTATATAAATTTGGACTTCATAGAATATTCAATGAAAAGTTTGGTTTTTTAAGCCATTTTTTTTAAGGCATGTGCAAAAGACTTGATCAAATTCTAGTATTTATTTTGTGTTAAAATATAATTACGTCAAATGTGGAAATTACACGTTGTATGGCTTTTGTTTTATTACAGATGAAAACATTATCTGTGTTATTATATATTGCGATGTACATTAGCAGTACACGTTTAATAATTACGGCACAGCAACGTAAAGCATTTGTAAATCCCCAAAGTGACTGTCGCGTTCAATGTCTCAATGGCGGATATTGCGCCTATTTAGTGGATAATCCTACAATTCATACGTGTCTTTGCTTATTAAACGTATTTTACGGTGATCGATGTGAATATGCAGGTATTAGTTTAAAATTATTTACCTCACTAATATTTTGTTCTAAGATTTTATAGATTCATATAATTACTAACTCTAATTAAAGAGTTACCTGAAAATGAAATTGTTTTGACACAAATGAAAGAACATTTCACATCGAAGTAATCTTAATTAACACTTAGTTATCTTAAAATTAGTCAGCTATAGTTATATTGTAGTAAAATATTTATAATTTAAGGCAAGAATAATTTAAATAACACTTTAATAGTTCTTCAAAATTCAACTCATATAAATAATAAAGTTTATGCCTTAGAACTTTCAAAAACTATATCCTTGTCTGAGAATTTTCTGCGAATTTTTTCACAAATCTTTGAATAAAGTACACGTCAAAAAGTCTTTGTTTATTTTCTTATAATTTTAGGATTATTTAAAAGTTAGCGCAATTTCTTGTTTAAAATCAAAAATTCTGTTTGAAAAAATATTAAATTTCATACAAAAATTGAAATGGTATCATTTTTAAACAAATACAATTTGGTTGGTCACATATTAAAGCAAATTAAAAATGTTGAAATTTAAATCAGCTTTATAAATAAGAATTTAAACTCAAATAAGCACTTAAGTTTGATTAAGTTACTAGCAATCTTCTTTTTTTGTTCCAAAAAGTTGTAAGTAAAATCATAGAAATGGGATTAGAGAATATAACTTTTTACTTAATTTCACTGCTTTTGAATAGTTAAAATAAGCAATAATTCTCTATAGAAAAGCAATGAAATTATATTTCTATTCAATTTTTATTCATATCAAAATTAAAAAATCTGACAATTAGTCCTCAGAAATCAAAGATTGCAAATAGCAATTACTTTATTAAAAATTTTTGAAATGTATTTAAATTGTTTCTATCATACTTTTCTCGACATATTCAAATTTAAATTTCAATAAATCAAGTTTTAATTGATATTTTTTCCAGTTTTCGATGTGGATATTACATTTTAGATATAAATATTAAACTTAAATAATAAAAATAATATTTTCAAATACAGTAAGTCAATCTTTTTTGTATTTATCTATACGGATTTCATTACTGAAACAAATCAAATATACAGTTTTTCCAGTCTAAATACTTGAATTTTCGTTTTTAGTTTTACAGTTCATAATTTCTAATATTTTGGTTTCACTGATTGATTGCTTGCAACGCGATTGTTCTTGAAGAAGCCATAATGCATTGTTTTTCTCAGAAAAAATCTAGCTGATATTTTAGGAACATCAGAAAATATTAGAATATATTTGTAATAAAAAGCTAATTTTTACAATTTTACTTATTTAAATTAATTTATGTGCAGTTGCCGAAGGGATAACGTCAACTCCAAATATAAACGAACGTTCCACGTCAACAAATTTCGCATTTCGGGGAGCAGAAGTGAGTAGTCAACACGGCAAATTACAGAATTTTAAAAACGGAAGATTCATTGATGATTCAACGACCACGTATGACAATATTGCACCGACAAAATATACAGAAATGTATCAAATGCAAGAAACTAGTAAAGTTTAAGATATTTATCAGCTTTTCACTCAATTGATTTTATTAATTTTTGGATAAAATACTTTTCAGTACTTAATTCATTGAAGCACATTTTGAGAGTATTTTACAAAATGTATTTAATTATGATTGGCAGCAATTACTTAATTACTTATAGATCATTAAATAACTTATCTGTAATTGATTTAACAATTAATTTATCGAATTTATATTAATCAATACAAAAAAGTATAATTAAAAATTGTTTTATCAGTAATGAATTTTTACTTGATAAAATATTTGTTATTAATTTCTACCTGTGAAATAAACTGAGCTAAAGTTATTTGATTTTAACTTTTAGTAAGACATACTGTAATGCAAGTAGAATAATTTTGATTAATTAATAGATTTATATTTTCGCAAATATTTTTTACAGAATACAATTAAAAATTAATTTCATACAGAACGATTTCCTCAAGTGTACAACAAAACAGAAGTAAATTTAGAATCAATTTCAGAGAATTGAAAAACTTTCAATATTATTCTGTTTTACTATCTCTTATTAAAACTAGAGTCTACTTACTTTCTATAATAAAATATAATTATAATTTTATTATATGACTGCTCTGATCTAATGTCTAATCATTTCTGAAAGAATAGAGGAACACTGAGATTCAGTCTTAAACCAATTGAGGAACACTGAGATTCAGTCTTAAACCAATTGAGGAGCACTGAGATTCAGATTTAAAGCAATTGAGGAGCACTGAGATTCAGACTTAAACCATACTGGACTGAAAATTCCATTACGTTTCAATTATTTGATTTATATATTTGATTTTCAGACATAAAAATCACAAAAATAATCTGAAAATGAAAATATTTCGAAAAAAAATAAATGTGAAAAGTAAGAAGTAAGTAAAAATAACACTTTCGGTTATATTAATATTACCTTTTAATTATTTAAAAATCAGCTAAAATGGTTATTCAAATTTGATTGTAACAATCATTGAGAAGTAGTAGCGTATTTGATTTGATACTATGCATCTTCATAGTACAAAACTTTCATTGTATTTTGAATTGTTACTTACATAAATTAATAAATAAGTTTCGTTATTTTCCAGAAATTTTTACGTCAACAGAAAAGATGAATAAAGAAATGGATGATTATACTGAAGGCTGGGAAACAGCAGATGATGACGATTACTTGTATGATGATCGATCTAATGACTCAATAGGTTTTCAGTTTTTAAACATTTATTTTAAAATTTATTTTTGAAATAATAAATTATTCAAGATTTAGAATTTAGAATTTTCGGTCATTGTAAATAAAAAAGTACAAATAAATAGATAAAATTTTAAATATTTAAAATTGTAATCGCATTTTCTTCAAGAAAGTATAAACGGATCTTCTGAAGCAGCAAGGCTAGCATATTCGGGTGCTACAGCGAATTCAAATAGACAACTTGAATATCCAAAACGAGTATATTCAGGTAAAAAGAATAAAAATGAAAGAGAAATGCATTTTGATCAATTTGATCAATTAGAAAATGATGGAGAAACGCTTGTACAAAGAACATCTGATAGTAAAAATTCTCGTAGTCAAGAACTGATTCCAGAGTCAGAATCAGTTGATGATGGATGGATGATGAGTAAACGACGACGTGTTATTACTAATAATAGTAATAATCATTTTAAGATGCAAACAATACTTTTTATTATTTTATACCTTATGCCCTTGGTAAGGTGGTTGCTGTGAGATGATATTTAATAAATAATGTACAAATTTTGACAAATCAAATATTTAAATTGATCAAGTTTTATTTATAGGATAAAAGTGAAATAAGTACGTATCTCACGTGTAATATGAAGTTTTGTACATTAGAAAAAAGGCAAATCCAAACTGATTCAATTTTGGTGAGCGATAAAACAGCCACGTACATTTCCAGTTTTATATAATTTTTAATTTGCAATTAATTATCTTAAAAAAAAGTTTCTTTGATAAAAATAAGCAATTTTTTGTATATTTTGCAAATGTAAGTAAATTACTCTATTTTTTTCAACGTAAGATTAAGTTTGCATTTTTACGTTTCTTTCTGTCTACCAAAATTTTTTTACAGTTTGTGATGAGAATGGATGCTGGAACATTTTGACTTGATTTTTTAATTTTAAAAAAGTGAAAAAATTAAAATTCTTCAATGTTAAAATTATTTCTTGCATTTTTTGAATAGTAACAAATTTGCGTTTTCATGCCTCAATATACATAGGACAGTATTACATTTAGCATCAGTATATTATGACATAAAAGTTGACAAAAGTTTTTGTCATTCTAAAAAGATAAACACTATTATGCTTTCCAACTTACTTTTGATTGTCACCAAAAAATGTAAAGTGATAAGTGATATGCACTGTGTGACATTTTTTACAGTATAATTAATGCTGATGGACAAATTCTTTATTCAGACATACAATTTTTTGTTTTTACAATTGTTGTGCAGTTTTCTCAATTACAAATAACCGGTCAAATAATTTTTGCTAAAATAATTTCAAAACAAGTGTTTTTCACTTTTAGTTGAATTGATTGACTGATTAATTGATTGATTGTAAATTATTGATTCTGTGATCATGAAAATATATACTTTTATCATTTTTGAATAAATAAATAATCATTATGTTTTCAAAACTATATCAACTTTATCAGCCTTAAAAGATTCTGATAATCAACAAAATTTTATGCTTTTATTTTAGTATTACGTGAAACGAAAATTTAAAAAAGTAGCGATTTGTATTGTGTGCGATTATGTTCGCTGACTTATCACAGCTGAAGCAATGATGAATTACTACTACTTTGATCCAATTTGCAGAATTTAGTATTTTTAGAGATTAATGCAATTTATGTAAGTCAGCCATCAAAATAACACGTATTTTCTAGACTTAAAAGTGAAATCAATAAATTTGTTGATTCTTTCAGTAGAATTAAGTATAAAACGAAAGCATTGCTTTCTTCTTACTTCTGACAATTTCGTTCTTGAATTTAGCCTTTTTCTCTCTTCTCAAACATTTCAAACTGCTCCTCACTGTGACATTTGACTTCAATCACAATACAGAAATAATTTATTGCCAGCAACTGAAAGAGAATTTCCTTGTAGTGGACATTCACGTAGTGACCTTACGTAGTGTTGAGGCATTCTGAAGCATATATACAGTCCCTTGAAACTGAAGCATTTAAACAAATGAAAGTGTATGACTTGCCAAATCAATGGGCAGATAATCGATAGTAGCATGGCGTGACTTTCTGTTATGCTATCAAAGTTTGTAAAATATAATTGATTAATGCGAAAAAGCGTAAATCAAATCTACACTAATAAATATCAAAATAAATTGAGATCAGACTAACTGTCAGCAAAAGTAAAGTCTAAAGTCTAAAGCAGGAGACGTGTAAGTACCAGTCTGATATAGAAATGATTGAAATTTTTTGTTGCGTTAGTGTTAATGATGAAGCCAAGTTCAGGTCAGGCTTGTCTGCGTATTGATATAAATCTTGACATTTCTGAATTATATTCAAAGTCTACTGATTGATCACAGCACACGTATTTATTGATTAATTTTAAATAATTTTTTAACATTTTGTACAGCTAAAAATCATTATATCTCAATAGAACTAGCAAGAGAAGAGTACAAGCTGTGGGCTTTTTACTGAAATAGAATTAAAATAAGTATTTAATTTAGATTAAAGCTGCAAGCATTTCATTTTTTTGTTTGTAATACTTGAATCTGACTAATTTTTGATCAGATTCTCTGGTTATTTGTATTTATTAAATTTGAATGTAAATTTAAGTCCTTTACGATGTATGCTCTCCAGCAACTCGTAATAGAATTAAATCAGAGTACAAACTCGAGCTTCGATCACAAGAATCATTCATCGAGGAGTATGCATGCCAAACTAAGCGTTGTTTCATTGTAACTGCACAAAAAATGTCATTTCTATAAGAATTTACATTATAATATTTGATCAAATCACAAATTTGTTTATTTTACGAAACTTTTGACTTTTTTGTTTGATATAATTTATTCCTTGTGACTGACCTTAGTTTTCTTTCGACTATTTATTTAATCAAACGTGAAAAGGACAGATTTCATTGTTTGCGTGAAACTTTCACTTAAAAAGGGTAGCTTTTTTCGGTCTTATTTAAGACTGATTTATACATTATAGAAGAAATAACGCATTTTATGTTTCATAATTAAGCTTTATAATAATTTGATATTGTAGTAATAATCAGTGAATGTCACTTACAAGCAAGCTCGTACTGTACTCCTACTTTCGGGCAATGAAATCATTAGGAGTAATTTTACTGCTTATTTGGTTCACTTTGGGAATAGTTACTGCCATACCAGTCGACCCTACTTTATCTGGTAAAGGTCAACAGTCATTACATTGACATATTTGATAGCACAAAAAGTAGTCTTTAATAATTTAGATTAAAATATGCACAAGTTAGTCACATATCACTTGCATATTAGACGTTTTCCGTGAATTTATTATCCACAAAACAATCTTTGTTTTTGCTTGTTAAATACTAAAAAATTTTGCGAATAGTATTGAATGAATTTGATCTTGGAAGAAGTAAATGCTCTTCCTCCTACTTAATTCAGGCTATCTTATAGCATACAACAATTAATGTTACACGAAAATTCAATAAATTATTGCAGAAATCGATCTGGATCAGTCATCAGATGGAGTTATCAGCACTGATAATCAAACGTTTACTTCAGTGCAAGGAGCCGATATGTCATTAAGCAATAATGACTACTCTGATTTTTCGAATTATCGATTGCTTACAAAAATGTAAATTTTAAAAGCTGTACGTCACAATGTGAGCCAAAAATGTATTTTTTTTTAAATTTAATTTTAATTATTTAATTATATTAATTGTGTACTTCTTCAACATTTTTATAATTATTTCTCTGATATCTAAATGTAGTTCAGCGGATGAGAATCTCGAATCAATAGCACAAGAATTGCGACGTCGATTTCTAGTTTTATACTTTTACAAAAACGTTATTGAATCAGCAGAACAATTAGATGTTTATACAGATTACTTACTTCGAAAACAAGTTTCAGAATATCGTAACTCTCTTCTCAAGGTGAATATGTTACTTTTTCCAAACAATTAACCAATATTGAATGTATTTTTTTTTACTTTTTTGAATTGCAGATTCCGTATGGAATCTTAATTTTCTTGTTTTCAAGAATGGATGGAAACCACGAACAATCATTCGATTTGGCAGTAGAAGTGCGAATGACGCAATAAATGACGTTTATTATAAAATATCTTTGAATGAAAATGGTGTGCAAACAATAGAATCTTTGAACTGTAAGTATATTTTTTTGAATGTATAAAGTTTTCACGTAAATACTTTGATGGCATCTAATAGTATACTTTATATTTGAGAAAAAATTTTTGTCTTATTAAAAATGTTTTTTAATTTTACTTTAAAAAAAACAAATATTTTTATATATACAAACTTCTCTACTGATCTATTTTTTTGAGGCCTTCCAGAAGGTCAAGGAGATACAATGGTAGTTATACCCAAAATTATTGGTGCAAAGGTTGATATCGCAACTACTTATTCAGATCGGTTACTGCTTTTCCAATTTAGTACTTCAGATTTTGGTTTAAAAAAATTATTTTAATCAGAAAAGTTATCTAAAATTTTTATTCATTATAGCTTGCAAATTGTGTATCCAAAGATGTCAAAGTGGTATACTTGTCAAATTCAAGTTTATCCAACAAAATCTGAATTATTTTTGAACTGATTATTTCAGTAATACTTGGAGTAATATTGTTAACAAATGCTTTCAGATATAAGTCGTCATATAAGTCTCAAAATGATCAAAATTTGCTAAATGAGGTGTGGAACTTTTTGTGTGTGTTGCAAAATGTTCAATATCAAAACGTATCTTTAATAAATAAGCGGCATCTGGAGATTTACTCCTTCAATTCAATGCCAATTTACAATAACAGTAATAAAGTAGTTCTTTTATATAAACTTGCCAAGGAGTACGCAGTGATTTTTCAACAGACTATTATTTTTATATTTGTCTATCTATCAACTATAATTTTAATTAATTTATCCGCAAAATTGATTTTTTTACTGAATAATTTGTAATTTTAGAATGATATTAAGCTTATCCTCACGTTTCACAAATCAGTCAGCACGTCAATAACTGCTCAACTTGAAACAATACATACCGGAAGAGCAATGCGTAATGTGCCTTTGCTATTTGTTTCAAATGAAGTTTTGCCCGGACAAATGTGAGCATTGACAATTTTTGTTACGTCTGAAAAGCACTTTTTAGCTTTCATTTACGACTGATAGATTTGTGTTAATAATTAATTTTAGCGAAACCTTATTCATACAAATATCAAAACATTATTACCGTAATGCATAAATTTATTTCGTATGATATTTGAACGAGTTTTGAGGGTAAACTGTGATAGATACATTCGCTAGAAGCTTAATTGGTGAAAAAAAATGCGCTCAAATCACTAGAGTAAATTTACATTAACAATTATATACAATTAGACCTACTAATTGTGTACAATTAGTTACGTGAATTACGAAACACGAGATAATAGATTCATCATGTTTGAATTTTAGAAAAGGAGGGGTTGAAGGCGAGGAAATTGAAGCACAAAGTGTCCATCTGATTTTCTATGGAATACACGTAGAAGCATCCGTTCGAAGCGTGAATATTAATTGTAATGAAGAAGAATTAAGGAATATTTTTTTGCAATGGAAGGTTAATATAATTTTACACATTTATGCAAATTCTTATATCGTAAATACTATTTTAGTTTAATTTTATATTTAGATTATTTTATTGCATAGTAATTATATTTAAAATTGCAGCAGCAATTTTTTTCACCAAATTCGTAATGTTTTTTTTACAGCAAAATATTGATTTCCTCGAAACTCATCAAATTATTGCTTTTCATTTTTCGCCATTCGGTGCTGAGCCAGAAAATAGAGATGCAATTTTCAGGTAAATTATACTCAGATAATTTTTGTATTAAAAATAATTCAAACATAATACTTTTGTAATTACATTATTTCAGGGATGTGTTCGGTTATCAACCAGTGACTTACCACACATTTGGAAATAGAACAAAAGTAGGAAGAAGTTGGCCTGCAAAAATGTGTATTAAACAAGAAATCACATTTGGTCCACAATATGCTATTGTCGGATTCAAAAAATTTGTTACAACCAAAACAGATCAAAATGTTATCGAATATATGTTGTCGTATTTATTAACAAATTGAGAAGTCAAGTGACATTATACTAGTTTTCATTGATAATAAAAAATGTTCACTGTTTATCATCCAATGTTTGTGTTCAAACTCAATTACAACTGCAAGCAGTCTTTGTATGAGATAATTTTGATTAATTAATTTATGAATTTTTTAATGACTGCTATTGCTTACAGCGTTTATTTTACTCATTATCAGTCTTTTGATTCATAAATATGAACTATGACCCGAATTGGACTGGATACATGATTATAATACAAATGACAAAGCATAATTTAGCATTGTAAGTAGCTAAATGACCAATTTTATAGTAATGAAAACACTGCCATCGCCGAAGCAATCAAAAAAACGTAATGAAAATAAAAATGTAGCACTACGAGATATTTGTATTCAGAAAAATGGATGAGTGAAAATGTTGACATTCTTAGAGAAGTAAGTTTTACTTCTAAGAACTAATATGACATAGGCAAATAAGTTATGTTTGAAGTAATAACTGTTACGTATACACACCAATGAATACTCTCAGGCAATACTTCTCTTGTGTCTTGAGGCACAAACTTCGTCAATAATACTTACATTAGTTGGCCCTTTAATATTACAAGTGCGCTGCTTCACGCTTCTCTCGAAAAATACTACGTATGCAAGT